TCGAACACCTAAAGGGTCAGATAATAAAATAAAATTGTTTAACAAGTTTGGATCACTGGAGGAAATGTATGTATCTGATCACACCCATCCAAGGGCACATAGCATGTCGCCCTTAAAGACAGTGCGGGGTAGATCCCCAAGCAACCCATCTAAACGATAGTCCATTCCAAAACTATAGTACAGTGGAATTGTAGAGGATTAAGGTCCAATTTTAATGAGTTGCAGCTATTAGTCCAAGATTTTGCACCATCAGCTTTCTGTCTGCAGGAAACTTATCTGAAGCAGACAGATATTTTTAATTTACGTCAGTTCGTTGCATATAATTCTTTTTCCGCTCCGAGTGACAGGGCCACTGGAGGGTCTTCAATACATGTTAAGCAGGATGTTATCAATAGTCCTGTAACACTTTCAACTAATCTCCAAGCCGTTGCAGTGAGACTTACTCACCACGTTACCTTTACAATATGCTCTCTATATATTCCGCCTTCTTCAACACTTCAGCAGTCTGATCTTCAAGCTCTCTATGACCAACTTCCTAAACCTTGTATTATAATGGGTGATCTCAATGGCCATAACCCGATCTGGGGTGGTACACACACTAACTCAAAAGGTAAAATACTGGAAGATTTTATCTCCAATAATGATTTGTGTATATACAATGACGATTCAAGCACTTACCTGCACCCTGCAACCGGCACCTACTCTTCTCTAGATTTGTCTCTTGCAGACTCTAATCTACTTAATGAAATTTGATTGGTCAGTCCACAATGACCTCTGTGGAACTGACCACTTTCCAACTATCCTATCAAAAATTAATCCATCTGACTCTCCATCGTATACGAGATGGAATTTTTCCAAGGCAGACTGGTCCTTATTTCAAACGTTATGCACATCTAAACTCAGACCTGAATGTTTCAGTGATATAACCGATCCTATTCGTGTTTTTTTCTGATATTTTAAATGAAATAGCTGATGAGTGTATACCAAAGTCCCCTACGACTCCACATGTACGAAAACCATGGTTTAATACAGATTGTAGAAAAGCGAGGGAAAAGACAGAGCATTATTTCCGCCATCATCCAACTGTTCATCACTTAAATAAATTTAAAATACTTTATGCAAAGGCACTTCGTACCTTTAAACAAAACAAACGACAATCTTGGAGAAGTTATGTCTCCAAAATTAATTCACGCGCCCCAATGTCTAAGGTATGGAACATGGTTCAAAGAATTAAAGGCAAAGGTTCAAAATCTGCTGATAACTTAATTACTGACAAGTCTAAAATTGCAAATAAAATTGGCAAAACTCTTGCCAAAAAGTCAACACCGGCAAATTATGTCCCTGAGTTTCAGAGATATCAGAAACAACAGGAAAAGACAAAATTTAATGTCGAATCAAATAACGGTCAAGATTATAATGAAGTGTTTTCATTACATGAGCTACATACAGCTCTTGAGCAGGCTCACGACACTGCAGCAGGTGATGATAATGTACATTACCAGCTACTGAAACACTTACCTGAACCATGTCTGATGACACTTTTAGATATATTTGACCAAATATGGACGTCTGGAGAATTTCCTCCTTCATGGCGTAATGCCATTGTAGTCCCAATAGCAAAACCTGGCAGGGATCATACAGATCCGTCGAATTACAGACCGATATCTCTAACTAGCTGTGTCTGTAAAACCATGAAACGTATGGTGAATAATAGATTCACTTGGTATCTTGAAACCAATAATCTCATAACAAATATTCAATGTGGTTTCAGGAAAAATCGTAGTACCATTGACCATTTGGTACGTTTAGAATCCTTTGTTAAAAATGCTATAGTAAATAAACAACATGCTGTATCAATTTTCTTTAATCTTGAGAAAGCTTATGATACGACCTGGAAGCATGGCATTTTTAAGGATTAACATGAGTTTGGTTTGAGGGGTCGTTTACCTCTTTTTATATCACAGTTTTAAGAAACAGGCAATTTCAAGTCCGAGTGGGTTCAACCCTGTCTGATCATTACAATCAGGATCAGGGTGTCCCTCAAGGCAGTATTTTGTCTGTCACTTTATTTAGTATCAAGATCAACAGTTAATCCAAAGTTTTAAACGATTCAATCGATGGATCACTTTTTGTGGATGATTTTACTATTTCTTGTCGTGGTAAAAATATGCATACTATTGAACGGCAATTGCAGTTGTGTTAAAATACATAAATAAATGGTGTCTTGAAAACGGCTTTAAATTTTCCAAGTCCAAAACTAATTGTCTACACTTTTGTAGAAAATATAAACCGCATAAAGACCCAGAACTATCTCTAAATGGCACTCCCATCAAAGTTGTCAAGGAGGCCAAGTTCTTGGGTCTAATTTTTTACTCCCATTTAACTTTTTGCCGCATATTAAATCCCTTTAAAGCTAAATGCCTGAAGGCCCTTGATTTGTTGAAAGTTGCTTCCAACTCAAAATGGGAGGGATCAAGCTACCCTCCTCCACCTATATCGATCATTATCCCGCCTGACACCTAAAACTACTTGATTCTGTCCATCACCAAGGCCTGAGACTTTGTCTTGGGTCCTTTAGAACCTCTCCTGTTGACAGCCTCTATGTTGAAGCTGATGAGCCATCCCTTAACCAATGTCGTATTAAATTATCATTACAGTATATAACAAAACTCTATTCTAACGAGTCTAATCATGCTTTTAACTGTGTTTTCAATCCTCTTTATGAGGATTTATACAACAAAAAGTCTTGTTCCGCCTCTTGGGCTAAGAATTAATTTCTGCTGCCGGCATTGAGCTGGAAAATATATCTCCTTACCGTCTTCTTTCTTCTCCTCCTTGGCAACTGGTGAGGCCTGAAGTTGACCTAAATCTGACAAAGTTTAAGAAATCTGAAACTAATGGATTACAGTATAAACAAGAATATAATCAATTAAAAAATACATATAATACATACAAATCCTTATTTACAGATGGGTCCAAGGATGGTGGCGCAGTGGCTTGTGCCACTGTCATTGGATCCAGAACAATATCTTCTCGAATACCAAATAACAGCTCTATTTTAACAGCAGAAGCATACGCCATATTAACAGCTCTTAAATATATTAATAAACACCGTAAATATAAACAATACATAATCTTTTCCGATTCTCTTTCGTGTCTTCAGGCTATTAAAAATCTGTCTTGTAAACATCCACTTTTAATAGAAATTATTGAATTATATAATGAGATTGCTACTGGCCAATGCGACATCGTCTTTTGTTGGTTACCCAGCCACGTTGGCATTTCTGGGAACACAATGGCCGATCTTGCTGCCAAGGCAGCACTCAACAAATCTGTAACACCACTTCTTATTCCATACTCTGATTTTAAAGCTAGCATTAGAACTTACATCCGTGATCTGATGCAAAAGAAGTGGGACACCCAAGTAGGTATTAATAAATTACATGAAATAAAACCCTATGTTGGTTACACCTACTTGGGTTGTCAGTCCAGATTTGAAGAGGTCATCATGCGACGATGTCGCATTGGCCGTACGCGTTATACTCACAAATACTTGTTAAAAGGTAAAGACCCTCCATTTTGTATCCCTTGTGATGAGAGAGTCATGGTCAAGCATATCATGCTTGACTGTGTTGAATTCTCCATCATAAGGGATAAATATTTCAATGTGAAAACAGTTAAAGGTCACATGCAACCAAAAAATCAAACATAATTAAAACACAATTATCACTTCTTCACGACATATAATATGCATTGCTGATTATGAAAAAACAAATAAACAAAATTAGAAGCGTATAATCGCAAATCAAAAGTGCAATATTTTGTACTTGGGTTTACCTCCCTCGAAACGAAGCAGCCGGATACCGAACCCAGTCAGAGCGGGTGGGTGTGCACTCAAGTGTAACGGCTGGTTCATTAGCAGATGCCGCCTTCACGGCTCATTGTGTGTGTATATATAGAGATGTTGGGTTTTGTAAAGGGAACTAGTCAAAAGGGCCGAAGGACAAAAGGGCCGAGAAGTGCCTAGTCAAAAGGGCCGATGGAAAAAGTCAAAAGGGCCGAGGTGAAAGTCAAAAGGGCCGTGACAAAAAGTCAAAAGGGACGAGGTGAAAGTCAAATGGGCCGAATAGAAAAAAAGTTTAGAAAGGTTTTACATTATTTATTGACACATATAGCATAATATCAGCATAACATTACTAAAGCATGTAGCCAAGTTTTTATGTAATGACAATACATATATTTAATCAACACAAGTTCACATAATTAACAAAAATGACATTATGGCAATTTACACAAGTTCATTCGTTCATAATTTACACAATTTCATAATTGGTGCGGACTGACTGGTTGAATACACACCAACTGACCACTGTGAAGCTGGAGTGACTCATCCACTGTCGCTCCATGTAGTCACAGAGACCAACCAGCTTCTGTGACGACGCTCTCAAGACAAGAAAAGGAACAGAAGATGACTTTGAAACATGTGGCTATATGAATATGATGCTTATACGAATGAATGAATGTGTTCCTGGCAATGTCGCCAGATGGCTTGTGTAAGATGGAAAACACAGCCGCGTAGCTTGACATCGGGGAGGAGTTGATCAAATACCTTCCATGTGGCAGCTTCGAAATCCATCATAATGCATCGGACTTGGGGTGGACGGGGTAGGACGTGCAGCATCTTCGTATGACTTTCAAATTCCAATTCCAAATCTTTCGGATTCTTTGGCCGAAGTTTTTCTCTACACCTGTTGGCGATACGAGCTAAATATTCAGGGTTGTCTCTGCTCCCGGATAGCAGTATTGGATCTACCATATCGCTGGTGATATCCTCAGCTATTGACCTAGCAGACTTAAACAGGTCTTGCGTTGCAGTTCTCTTCACCTATAACAACAAGGTTGATTGATCCAATTAAGAATCAATTCAATTCGTTAACATTTACCAATTAACAATTAAAGATGTTCAATTGACAATTTAACTAATCCTAATTAGGAATCAATCAATATAAAGTACTACTCACCTGAGCTCTTACTTGGACTGAAACAATTTTGCCTGCCTCTGCTGTGTGGCTGTGGTTATGTTTGCCTGGCACTCTGTCTCCTGTTGAATTGGTCTCGGCAACAGTTGCCTTACAGGGACGTTTGCTACATCTGTAGTCAATCTTATTCTGAGTGACCTCCTGAAAGATGTAATAATATAACGTTAATATAACGTCAAAAACAATAACATTAAATATAGAAATATCCAGGTATAGTATGGTTGATATAATAGGATTAAGATGTAACAATACCTTTATTACGTAGGTGAATCCATTCCTGTCTACCAGCTTGGGTTTTGATTTCTGTGAGCCGTCCAATACCAACGTGTATAGAGGATCTTCCACCTCCTGCTCCTCCGCAAGAATATCCTCCTCCATTGATCTGTTATGTCAATAGAAAATTGTGTTATTAAAATACATAAACTTGAAAATATATAATATATATAATTGTTTGATCGGCATTAAGTTATATGTTATACATTATGATGTTGAATATACTTACACTTCCTGAACTTCAAGAGTGTCATCGAAAGCAACTGATGGAGCTTCTATTGAAGAATCCAACTGGAGAGTGAAGTTAGGAATAGATGTCTTGCATAAATGACTCAAGAAATTAAATTCTTCTCCACTTCTGCATAAGTCCAGGTAGCCGTCACGAGTCATCCCTGTGCAACAAATCCTGTGTGTCCATGACTGACATTGATCACACTCTAAGGCATGCTGATTTCTTCTTATAGTCTTAGGGCACTGTGCACACTGGACAGCCAAAACAAACATCCCACACAGATTAGTCATGAGACTGAGTCTCATGTTCAAATTCCATTGAAAATAAACAAAAAACAACAAACTAAACACTATTCATACTATTTTACTACGTAATTTATTAAATTTTATTTTATTTTCGGCCCTTTTTTCGGCCTTTTTGACTTTTCATTTCGGCCTATTTGACTTTTAGCCTCGGCCCTTTTGACTCTTTTTTTCGGCCCTTTTGTCTTTCGGCCCTTTTGACTACAACCCTTTGTAAATACATGCTCATTTTTTTGTGTATAACATTTTACAATCAACAGACATCATAACATGTCATGTGTTCAAGTATCACACCTGCCTGTCTGTGTAATTACATAATGTGACAGAGACCGAACTCGGGCCATAAATCAATGCGTTTTGTTTATGGTGTATAGCCTGATGGGTGTTAAGTTCAAACTGCATGTGGTCAGTGATCGCAGTTGTGTATTGAATATTGTCATTAGCAGACAGGCAGGCAGACACATAGGTGTCAATAAAACAGACATTGAGTTTTGTCTGTGACAACGACATATCTATATCACAGTTAGAAATTCTGTCAACGCTAAATAATGACATTGCTTTTAAGTATCGAACTGAGAAAGTGACTCGGTAAGAAGAACGTGTGGTGAAATAGACAAATGAAATTATATTAACAGTTTATTTACTGTCATAACATATAAAAAGCTCGAGCCTGTGAGATATCAACAAAACATTATGAAAATAGCTCACACCAAAGCCTTCACCGAGTATTCACCAGACAGCCCGCTTCCAAGTTGCGCGAACCTATTTCACTGCGCACGTGCTATGAGCGCAGCCCAGCTGTTGAAACCCGTATTCCCCAGAAAAGTCTGGGGAAAATTAGTGAAACGTTTGAACTCCGATTTCGCGCGTTTTTTTTCATCGCGTTATTTTTCAACTTTATAAGTTGAATTTGCATTTTTGACGCTTTGTTTCGGTAAGTCCATACCGAAAGGTATCAGAATCTGCAAAGTTGTGTTTTACGTTGCATGTGACCGTTAAGGATCTTTTTAACACTGTTAATTTTCATTTAATAATTGGTTTTATAAAAGAAATTGATTTCATAGATGAATTTTGAATAATATGTTATGTAGATAGATGTATTTTAATGATTGGTAGTTTAGATTAGTAAACTTAGATTGTTAGTGGCTGTATCCTCAAAGGGGTTAAAGTACCGTAAAAGTATTGTCCTCCTGAGAGGGTACGTAAGTCCCAAGTAAAATATAAATTATCACATTTTAAATGTAGTATTTTTGTTATTTTATCTGTTGGCTAAATTTTCCTTCAATCGCCAGCGGCTGAAGGGATGGTGTAAATCCAGCTAGGATCCATTCAGGTAGCAAAAGTAATGTCAGTCCCCATGGTTCCTAGTATGGTGATCTACCTTCAGTTGTTGGCGATCTATAGCCCGTGTTTTATACTGTATTGTCTTCTTTAATTGGGATTTTTTTAGCTTTCCTCGCTAGTTTTATATTCATATCTTTGATTCTCTAGTATCGTTACTGTCCATCGTCGACAGGTTTTAATCTTCCAAATGTTTTTTCATCTTTTATTGTATGGATTGTTTTCGTCACGATATGGCTGAGATATTGCCGATGTGACGTTAAATATTAACTCACTCACTCACTATGAAGCCGAAAGAAGAGAATGTCTTCATAATAGCATTAGAAATAGCTCTTCTATGGACAATTTAATTAGAATTATGTCAGGTACTAAATGTAATATTAAGTTTGGCAAGGTTTTTATATAAAGTCTTTAGGGTAAGAAATACAACAAATTATTATTAGATCTTCAGTAGGTATGCTGAAATATTGTTTGATAGTTTAGTGTAGCATCTCTATTGTTATTTTACGAAAGTTTTTTTTGTCTCGTCCGGTGACAAGATACCTGTAATATGACTATCATGAATACATTTGTTCTGGTAAATCTAGAACAGTTTTCTTTTCAACCAGTAATGGTGTTCGTCAGGGATGCATGCTCAGTCCGCTACTTTTCATCCTATTCATCAATAAACTTGCAGACGATCTCCATCATGGCAATACTCCTGGAATTTATGTAAATGAATACACAGAAGCTATTAAGATATTACTGTTCGCGGATGACGTTGCACTACTAGGAGATAGCATTGTTGATTTACAAAGAAAATTAGACATTCTTGAAGATTTTTGTAACACGTGGGGTTTTGAAGTAAATCTGGATAAATCTAAGGTGGTTGTTTTTCGAAACGGAGGACGCGTTAAGAGAAATGAAAAATGTTTTTTTAAAGGTCTACCTGTAGAGGCCACCCCTTATTATAAATATTTAGGAATTGTATTTTCATCTCGTTTAGTTTGGTCCAAAGCATGTGAAACGCTATCTTTACAAGCCAGACGTGCATGTTTCCCTCTGTTTCAACTGTTCACCAAGTATCAAAGTATGTCTTTAACTATTGCTAATAATACTATGGAAGTGAAATTTGGGGCTATACTTATAGAACGTGTATTGAAAAGGTTCATAGTGAGTACTATAAAAGATTTCTGTCACTCAGTAAAAAAACCTGCATCATGTGCTGTACTTGGAGAAATTGGCAGATATAACTTGTGTGTACATTACCATTCAAGGTGTATTAAATATGGGTGCCGAATTATTCGTATGGACCAAAATAGATACCCGAATGCCTGTTATAAGATGATGAAAGCCTATGATGATAACGGAGGCACAAACTGGGTTTCACATGTTCGAATGCTTCTTTTTACTACAGGTTTCTCCTATGTCTGGTTAGCCCAAGATTGTGGCGATGTAAATCACTTCATGTTTGAGTTCAAACAACGCTGTATAGATATTAATATACAACACTGGAATAGTAAAATAAGAAACTCATCATTTCTTGTAAATTATAGTACATTTAAGTCGCTTCTTGAACCCGAACTGTATATTTCCTGTGGCGCACTAAACAAAGATCTTATGCGAATGTTGATCAAATTCCGATGCCAATCACATAACTTGAATATACAAAAACAACGTTTTTCAAAGATAATTGTCCCATATAAAGAATTAGTTTGTAACAAATGTACTTTAAACGTGCTTGAAGACGAATATCACTTGTTGCTAATATGTCCATTGTATAACCGATGCAGATCCCAATGTATTCCAGCCTATTTCTACAGCCCACCTTCAATTGTCAAATTCCGAGCCCTTATGAAGATACACAGTGTCACTGTTCTTAAAGGGATATGTATATTCCTGAAGCAAAACCTACGTTAAAATAATTGTATTATGAATTATATTTCAACTCTACACACCATGACAATGTTGTATTACCTCTTGTACTCTTGGCCACATGGCCTTCAATTCTGAATAAAGTGAAGTGAATAAAAATGTGTTACTGTCCATCGTCGACAGGTTTTAATCTTCCAAATGTTTTTTCATCTTTTATTGTATGGATTGTTTTCGTCACGATATGGCTGAGATATTGCCGATGTGACGTTAAATATTAACTCACTCACTCACTCACTATGAAGCCGAAAGAAGAGAATGTCTTCATAATAGCATTAGAAATAGCTCTTCTATGGACAATTTAATTAGAATTATGTCAGGTACTAAATGTAATATTAAGTTTGGCAAGGTTTTTACATAAAGTCTTTAGGATAAGAAATACAACAAATTATTATTAGATCTTCAGTAGGTATGCTGAAATATTGTTTGATAGTTAAGTGTAGCATCTCTATTGTTATTTTACGAAAGTTTTTTTTGTCTCGTCCGGTGACAAGATACCTGTAATATGACTATCATGAATTAAAGACCTTCTCCGTGGTGTAGTGGTTAGGGCGTCCGCCCGAAGAGCGGAAGGTCGCGAGTTCGATCCCTGAACGCGTCATACCAAAAGACGTTAAAATATGGTACTTGTTGGTCCCTGCCTGGCGCTCGGGATTAATGGGTACAACAAGGACTGGTCGGCTCGGAGTCAGTATAATGTGTCTGAGTGGGGTATTCATGCTTCTCAGTGGGCTAGCACTATAAAACCAGCTTCAGTCTGGGCTAGTACAAGCAGCCGCACATACACATACACAAGCATGCACGTCGTCATATGAGCGAAATATTCTCAAGCACGACGTTAAACCCAATTTCACCTCACCTCACTTGTTAAAACCCTTTTGTAATATTGACCATGGCCTTGAATACTCGAAATAAATTGTCTGTCTGTCTGTCATATTGCTGGAGTATTGCTAAATGCGGCGTAAAACCCAACTCACTCACTCATTTACTCAAGACGGATTAACCATTAGCATTGACAAGAAACTCCGTGATGGGTAGGGTGTTCGGATGATGAAATCGAAACACTAAACATGGCTTACGAAACCTTCCTGAATTAATGCACTTCACTCTGATCCTGATGTTGACGACCATAGACTGCACAAATATCAATTGATTACTGGCCACGTTTCCTTGTGATTGAGACCCAAGATAAGAATGGCACTCATGAAGAGCAACCTCCTAGTGGAAACAGCTTCTCCTCCTCCTTGTGGACTCGGGGTAGAATAAGTCCTCAGCATCCCATTGCTGGTCGTATAAGAAGCGAATTGGATAACGTGTTTGCCGTGGGTTGCGCCCCTGTGTCCATGTAGAACGTACGGGATTTTGATGGATGAGAGCCATCGAAGGCATGCACATCTCGACACTTTTTAGTGCTGAATGTGCACAATAATTCCTGGAAATAAAGATAAAGATTTTGAGCTGATAGTTCGATCTCGGCACATTTTTTATTTGAGAAAAGTACTCTGAACTGGTTAAAGCCCATGACCAAAACTTTAATCAAATATGGCGACCAAACGGTGCATTTTAGCGACTCGATGGGTCCTGGCGAAATTGTTGGGATTTTTATGTCGCATTTGCGCAAGAAATTTGGACGAGTAGTTTTGGAGACATGTGCTTTTCAAATTGTAATTTGGTTTAATTTTGAATTATCTGCCGTTTGTCCAAGAGCCTTGAGATTTTGGTGGGTGCAACTTCAAACTGGTGATTTATAACAACTTCTGATTGGCTCATGAGTAACGATTGGGACAGAAAGAAAGAGGAATGATAAATATTCATAAATAATAAATCAAGCAGTTACAGAAGGGATCTTGCCTTGCAGACATAGAGTCCTCACGTGGTTGCCGAACATAACCAAAACACTACGCGAAGCCCTTGCTTTACACCCACCGTGGTGCCGCTAAAAGATGGCGGATATGTACATGATCGTCAGTATTCATCTAATGAAGTTAGACGAAGGGAGTAGTCATTGTATACAATTTACACTACGCGGCGCTCCCTCGAGCTCTTCAAAAATAGAAGGCAAGAAAATCAATTCTATCCAAGATGGCGACGATAAACACATGTTATATCAGTTGCGGGTCCAATCGTACGCCTCAAAGTGCCGATTGGGGACGAAATAACTTGATTTGTTATGGGTCGTGTAGGGCTGTGGCTATCTACCGACCAGAGGTAATAATCTGATATATACTTCAAACTGGAACACTTACACGGTGCATAAACTGAGTCGAACTGACCCTTTCAGAATCACTCCTTTGACAACTGCAGACACGTATGTTCATAAAATATCAACAATAGGTTCAGACTTAAGGTTTCTGTCAAACTGTACCAGATTGTTTGAACGAAGTTGTGTTTACTTGGTGACACTTTCCTGGCTGTTATGTATTGCAGTGGTTGTAAACAGTTTGCAACTCTTCATTGCGTCGATATTCACGAATATTGCATCACAATATTGACCATTTGACAGATATATTGTAGGACAGGTAATTTGTTAGGTTTGGAAAGGGCGGAAAAATAGTTTCAAGTGGGTGGGGTGGTGAGTGCCGTGAACACAAATATATTTATGCCAAGTTCAGCTGAAGGGGTCGTTGTCGACACAGGTACTACAGATGTGTACCCTAGCCAAAATCAGCATACAAAAACATACCTTAAGACGTTTCCATACCCACTGTGTCGTTTTCTTGATCGAAACTGCCATACTGTTGTATTAGATGCATTTGATTGCGTTATATAAAAAAGGAATATACACAGTAACGGTTATATTGCGATGCCCAATGCGACTCGTAAACTACATACTGTTTCGGTTTCGGATTGCGGAATATGGACTCCTCCGCCTTTAGGGTACCGGGTACGTTTCTGTATTTTGACTTTGTTTTGGGTACATTTCTGTATACAGAAACGTACCTGGGGTATCTGTAGTACCTGTGCCGACAACGACCCCTTCAGCCCAAGTTAATAATATAATGTTTGGAGGATAATACAAAATTATTACATGATTGACTAAGGAGGGGCGGTGGGGTAGTCTAGTGGTTAAAGCGTTACCTTGTCACGGCGAAGGCCCGGGTTCGAATCCCCACATGGGTACAATGCGTGAAGCCCATTTCTGGTGTCCCCCGCCGTGATATTGCTGGAATATTGCTAAAAGCGGCGTAAAACCAAACTCAGTCAGTCAGTCAGACTATGGTAGTATAGTAATTTTCAGCACAATAGGGCTGATTTTTAAAAATAAATCATTAAATGTGTCAAATTCAAACCTGTGATCATATGTGACTCCAAGTATGTAGGTCGAGTGGTGAAAGTGTTTGCTTGCCATGCTGAATATAGTGGTTTTGATTCCCATCATTGGTGCAAAGTGCTATGCAATTTTTTGTGTCCCTTATGTGTTGCTACTGGTACATTGCTGAAATAAAAATCACTCACTCACCTTGCCATCAGGTCATGAAGTAAGGGCCGGTGGGGTAGCCTAGTGGTTAAAGCGTCGGGCCGAAGTCCCGGGTTCGAATCCCTACATGGGTACAATGTGTGAAGCCCATTTCTGTGTACCCCTTCGTGATATTGCTGGAATATTGCTAAAAGCGGCGTAAAACCCAACTCACTCACTCACTCATGCTGTCACATGGCAAAGAGATTGTTTCTGCCATAAATTTGATGATTTGCTGGAGTCTTCTTGTGATGATGGCATTCATACATGTGACATTTACAAGTAATACAACTATTTTCTACCCAGGGTTGGTCAACAAAACCTGCAAGTGTTATCTACACTCTCACTGGCCACCAGGACAGAGTCAACTGTGTTCAGTGGATATGGAACCCAGATAACAGTAAGTTGTACAAGTAGCTGTGAGGCCAAAATAGACAAGATTTCAATGTATTAGGAATCTTTGTATTCAAACAAGTAATTTTTGCTGTAAATTATTATATACTTGGGGTCAAGTATCGGCCTTATGAGCAGGTCAAGTAAATCCTCATACACATGTCATTAAGTGATCTGTTCATGTATTTCATGCACCAGGCAATGAGGATGAGTTGGTGTCTGGATCTGTGGACAAAACGGTCCGAGTATGGAGACAGGAAGGGGATGAGGTGAGTAGCAAGCTTAACGTTTAGCACTCACAATGTTCCAGCTATGTTATGAAGTCAATAAATAGTAGAGTCTGGAATAATCAAGATATTAATTTTGTGAGTAGCAATTTTCTCCATCAGGGTCCGAAGACATTCTATTTCTATCATGTTTGTTGGAAACAACATCAACCAACCATGCTGATTATAGATCAGAATTCATGATAATCTGTCAAATTATTGGTATTTGCTTTTAATAAAGAGACTGGTTAAAATTCATGAACTACAACATGTTAGAGGTAGTGGGGTAGCCTAGTGGTTAAAGCGTTCGTTCGTCACACCAAAGACCCGGGTTCGATTCCCCACATGGGTACAATGTGTGAAGCCCATTTCTGGTGTCCCCTGTCATGATATTGCTTGAACATTGCTAAAAACGAGTAAAACTTAATTCACTTACTCCAACTTGTCTTTTAAATCACAGTTCAGATGCTTATGTGTTATTGCTTTGTTTTTGGAGAAAATTATTTCTCAACCAGCCACACTAAATAGTCCCCTGAAAAGGCTAATTATAATCAGAGCTACAGATAACTTTTTGGGTCATTGAGTTATGTACTCGCTTGTGTTCATCTCAATTGGGTATCCTAATTTTCCTTTGAGTAACCAAATACATTGTACTCATCTCACTCAAACTCAATTGGGTATTCTGCCATTTTCCAATAATTTAAAAATATAATAAGGTTTAAATTTAAGTGTTTTTTATTTATATTTGATCTGTAATATGAGAATCGATAAGAAAAACTGCAAGTTGTCAAGTTCATATCCTGAAATAGAACCTCTCAGTATACCTCAGTTATAGTATCTATCCACCGGTACGCATATTAAGATTTGACATTTTTGTGTGTACGCGTGTAAGATCACATTTATTGAGTATTTGCAAAAATTAAAGCGTACTTGTACGCAATAGACTTAATAGGAATTGAGTTTTCACATAAATATTTGCGTAATTTACACAGATATGCAGCTTATCTGTACCTCTGTATAATACAACATATTTCAGTTTCAGGACTGTTTTCTCCTATGAAGATTCTTTCCTTGGTAGACTTGGAAACATTAACATTTACATTATCAGCAGAACATGGTAATGGTAATTACCTCCCCTTAAACCACCAAAGACAGGCATAGAAAATGTTTGGAAACCTACTAACACAGAAAATGCTTCCATGTTTCCAGTACAGCTTGACCGCCACCCTGAAGGGTCACACAGGGACAGTAAACGCAGTGGCAACGGTGAAAGTGTGCACCAACGTCATTGACAACAACTCTGCAACTGTGTACATTGCAACAGCATCAACAGACTCTACTGTCAGAATCTGGAGACGCGAGCTAGGAAAAGGTACTCCTAACTTGATCTTCTGTTTTTTGTTTCATCCAATTTTGAAATTCTAGTCAATCTCTTTCTATGTCCTATATGATGCTGTACAGAGCTGTGCCGACACATGTCATCTTATCTCAACTGTGTTGATCGATGTTCATGATATTGATCACTTGATTATTTACAGACTAATAATAACAATAATAATTCACTTATGTAGCACCTAGTATCCATCTGACAAGTTGCTCACTGGACGCTGTAACGAGAATCTGATTATTATTACCTCGGATAACCCAAGCTGCCTGTGAGGCGCTAGAAAGTTAATAGTCACATGACCTATCTCATCGGGTACCCATTTTCTGCTGGGTGAACAAAGGCAATTTTGAAGAAATTCACTTGCCTAAGGTGAGACCACATGTATCACATGTGCTTCATTGTGGGGCAGGACTGAAATCCTAGAAACTCTCAAGAGTCAAGCTGACAAACAGGGTCACCCATCCAAGGACCCTACCCACTCAGCGTTGCTTGACTACCGCCATATAGCTGGAATATTGTTGTGTTTGGCGTTAAACAACAGAGTTGTTTCCCTTAGACCTACCAGAAAGCTTCCACTTTGATTATGTATGGACATTATTCATCTAGTTGTTAGATATTTTTATATTTTATATTTTTTTAGAAGTGTTAAATATGGCAACTTCAACTGTTTATTGGTACTCAACAGATTTTGAAGAAGTCCAAGTGTTGACATTTGGAACTGGTTTTGTTCTGACTGCGGCGTTCTCTCTCATCCCAGACACTAATGGTAAGTGAGCGACAGATGTGTGAAGTGTCCAATCCAAATGTGAACTGTTTATTAGTGTTCGGAATCTGATGGGTGCTCATCATGCTCATATACCTGAGGATGTGATATGTTCAGGAGCTATCAAGTCCAATGTCAAGGACTTAGGTACCAGTGCAGGGGAGAAAACTCTCATCTTACTTCCTGAGAACACATCAGGTGAGGTGAGGTGAAATTGGGATTAACGTCGTGCTTGAGAATATTTCCTCATATGACAACGTGCATGCGTGTGTATGTGTATGTGCTGCTGCTTGTACTAGTCCAGACTGAAGCTGGTTTTATAGCGCTAGCCCACTGAGATACCATGCCGCAGTGAAGCATGAATACCCACTCAGACACATTATACTGACTCCAAGCCGACCAGTCCTTGTTGTACCCATTAATGCCGAGGGCCAGGCAGGGACCAACAAGTACCGTATTTTAACGTCTTTTGGTATGACGCGGTCGGGGATCGAACCCATGACCTTCCGCTCTCCGGGCGGACGCTCTAACCACTACACCACGGAGGCGGTCTGAGAACACATCAGCACTACAGTTACACATACTAGTGTTGTTGAAGTCTTGCAGAATGGGTACCATAATTGTTGAAATGAAACTACTGTTTTGAATCAAATACAAAATTGGTTGAACCGTGACCAGATTTAAAATGAACACTCACACAGTCAGTGTATTTACAGGGGCGGTGGGGTAGCCTAATGGTTAAAGCGCTGGCTCGTCACGTCGAAGACCCGGGTTCGAATCCCCACATGGGCACAATGTGTGAAGCCCATTTCTGGTGTCCCCGCCGTGATGTTGCTGGAATATTGCTAAAAGCGGCGTAAAACCAAACTCAGTCAGTCAGTCAGTGTATTTACATGATGAAACTGTTTATAAACTTTGGGATTTCTTCACATGGTGTTTCCTGTGTTATGTGTACACAGTAATGACTGTGCATTAGAAAAGAAAGTATCAAAATTAATTATTTTCTGTATAATGCACACCTCAGTCTACAGAGATAGGTATTTTGAGAAAAAAGTAAGCACTCTACACAAGAAAATACTGTAGTCTTGTCAAAATAGTACCGGATTTGTTGAAGTGATATCCTTCATGTCAAAGGTCTTCCATATTTGCTGAAATGATATCATTCTTGCTGAAGGCCGAGCGCCAGGCAGGGAGCAACAAGTACCATATTTTAACGTCTTTTGGTATGATGCGGTTGGGGATCGAACCCGCGACCTTCCACTCTCCGGGCAGACGCTCTAACCACTACACCACAGAGACGGTTTCAAACACTGGACCATCCCCTGATTGTTGTGATTCACCTATTGTATTCTCTTGTAGTTCCAGTACTGGCATGTGGTGCTGATGACTCCAAGATCCACCTGTATGTGTTGCAGGAAGGACAGGTATGTATCAATATAATTATAATAACGTGTACTGATTTTGAACTGATGAGGTGAGGTGAGGTGAAATTGGGTTTAATGTCGTGCTTGAGAATATTGACTGGATAATTCCATAGGGTGGAATTCTGTTCTATTCTTATAAATTAACATGTCAAAAACATAACATGATAGACTTTGTATATCAAACAGCACAAGCAAGTAATGCAACACAAGAACAGCCTATTATGAATACCAAGGTTATTGTAGTGAAGTGGACATGGTTTTCATTGATTTTTTTATGTTTAGGGAATCCAAAGCACACCTGCTTGATTAGCCCATCAGAGAATTACTATGCCAGATTGCCATAAAATTGTGTAACATCTACCCGTGAAGATCTGGGTTAGAATTGATCTGCTGTAACCCATGCTTGTCGCAGGAGACTAATGTGATCGGGTGCTCAGGCTCGCTGACGTGGTTGACACATTTCATTGGTTCCCAATTGTGTAGATGCTTCTGTCTCAATTATTTACAGACCGTCGCCAAATAGCTGGAATATTGCTGAGTGCGGCGTAATTCTAACCTCACTCATTCATTGTGTACATCTGGATGTTTGATCACTTACAGTTAACTTTGTTGACCTAGAGATTGTTTATGTACGACCCAATATTACGTTGGAAATAAGAGAAACATGTTATCCAGTAAAAATAGGAAATGTTCTGTGTGATCAACTTGAGATTTGTCCCCAGTTTGTAAAGAAGAGAGTCCTGACAGGCCACGAGGACTGGGTGAGGGGGTTGGAGTTTGCTGTGGAGGGTGAGTAGCTGCTGGTGCTGAACTGGACAATCAGAACATAGATCATTATCTTGCCTCACACATGAATGTCCTTTTCTGATTGGCTGAAGCGCTCTTCTATTATTTTCAATGTACCACGCTTACAAGCGAGTAACATTTTCTATGTACCCCGCTGGGAATGCTGAACTCATTTGGTACTTTGTAGTAGTAATTCTTTATCTCAAATAACATTGAATCACGTATGATGTACGGAAATTACCGATGTTTTGTGAATGCATGAATGATGGAAGGGAGATACCTCTAAATTTGTTTTTCTTGTGGACTGGTACTCCATACTATGATCGATACCCGTGCTTCAAACAGTTCAAAATTACCATTGAGGTGTTCGGTAAGATAAGTACGTTGTTCACTGCCATGAGTTGATGTACCCTCGATGTTTCTTTATGTTCGCTTCACACTTCGGGCTCAGGGAACATAAACAAACATCAAGGATACATCAGCCCATGTCCCCCTCGAGACCAGCGAACAACTTATATTGTTCGAGATTATACATTTTTTATAGAGATTATACATTATTCTGTGAAGGTTATGCATTGATCTGTGGACATTGTACATTGTTTGGGGTAGATTATACATTATCATATGGAGATTATACATTATCATATAGAGATTATCCATTGATCTGTGGAGATTATGCATTGTTCTGGGTAGATTAGTTCTGGGTAGATTATACATTATTCTTTGGAGATCATGCATTGATCCATGGACATTATGCCCTGATCCATGGACATTATGCATTGTTGTGGGTAGATTATTATGTCATCTGTGGGACTTATGCTTTGTTCTGGGTAGATTGATTTGTAAAGATTATGCATTGTCCAAAAAGAACTTGTGAGCAGCAGAGAAAATCATAGGAATAGTTTAACCATTTGAAGAGTTTTGATAATTTGCAGACCAAACTTTTATACTTGCAGATTTGACAATTTTATGTCATAAATAACCCTGGTAACTCCTTATGTTAACTGAAAACTTGCAACGATCTAATGAATGACCATCTCATTTTGATATAGCCCTAAGAATGTGAGGGACTATGAATAGTTTGGGGAATTTTCATATGAAATTTTATGATCAATCTGCACCTGTTTTCTTCAGTATATGTGGATAGATAAGATCCACCAGTGGAGGGATATGAAGCTGTGACACAGCTAATCAAGTTTTACTTTCCTTCCTCCCTGTGTGACCCATGAAGATCGAGGTTAGAGTTGGTCTTCAGTAACCCATGCTTGTCGAAAGAGGTGAATAACTGGATCAGGTGGCCAGACTCGCTGACTTGGTTGACACGTGTAATCACATACCAACTGCATAGATCAATGCTCATGGTGTTGATCACTGGATTGTCTGCCCAGACTTGATTATTGACAGACCGCCACCATATAACTGGAATATTACTCAGTGCGTCGTTAACAAACAAACAAACCCTTCCTCCCTGTGTAGATGATGGAGACCTCTTGCTGGCAAGCTGTTCTCAGGATCACTTCATCCGCATCTGGAGGCTGGCTAGACGAGACAGCAACACTGGGACGACCTCCTCCATCAGCAGCCTCTCGCTGGACGAGGACATCAAGATGAGGGAGAACACATTTGCTTTTCACCACAACGGTGAGTTTTCACCACAACGGTGAGTCCTGTCTCACCACAAGAGAGAGTCCCTGTTAGATTGTCATATCGCAATACATCGACAATCAATAAATAACCTGGTAATCTGAGTAGAAAAAGGCAAAATCTCTGTAACCCAATTAATTTGGAATTGCATGTGTTAAAATGTGAAAATATATACATGTAATTTCATTGTACCAGTACAAGATGGTTCTTGTTGTTGCCCTGCCTTGGGGATAAAACAACTACTAATCAGGTCAGAGTTCATATATGAAGGCGTATCCTAGTCTCGCGGTACTTACGGATATCGGCTTACAAAATAACACAAACAAATCTTATCGAATGAATGCTTGTTCGTTTTTAAATGAAAGGCCTTCTCCTCTATCATCTGCATCTATCAACTGCCAGATCCATCAGGTGAATTACCATTTGTGAGCCCGGTGATAAACAATGCCATCCGCCATTGACGACATGAGGCTTCTCCCATTCTCGCAGTATAACGAGAAAGTAACGTTGTCGAGTGCATGGAAGAGCAATCCTGCCGGAAAGGGCGGGGAAAAGTTATGATATGTCCAAGTTGGTATAAACTCACCAATATTCGTGACATTGCAAAATTTTGATCACTTGCTCGGCATCGCGCATCGGCGATATCGGCAGAAAACGTGTTTACCGCGAGAATAGGAAACCCGTGAGAAAAGGAGACGGACCTATGCTTTGTCTGTGCGAGAAATTTAAAAAAAGAGGTTGCACTAAGAACCCACCGACTTTGGAAGCTGCAGTGCAGCTTTTTCTCCTGGCAATACATAACAAGTTTTATTCAAGTGTTATGTCATCTTGACGTACATGATTTGTGAAATCAACCAAGTCACCATTTTGCAGATGTTGAGAGATTTCTGGCTGTGAGTCTGGAGTCGGTTTTGAGTGGTCATGAAAACTGGATCTACACCGTCAAATGGCAGCCCCAGCAGATGAAAGGTACATATCTGAGTAGCAGGGAAAGAAACCTTTCAAAATTCCCCTCTAGACCACAGGACCAGTGAGCGGACAATAATTAGTGGTCAGGGCTCCAGATAATGGCCGTATCGGCGTATGTACGGATAGAAAATATGCACGATACGGTATGAAATAATTTGGAAAACGTAGCAGATACGCACGACGACAATGGTCCTAGAATCATTTACAGACGTATGTATCTGAAAAAGTATTGTTTTATTGTTTATTGACCTGTTTACACAAGAATAGCAACGTTGTGGTGCATATATGACACGAAACACAGGGTTACTGATATGCCATTAAATTCCATTCAGTACTCTTAAGATTTTCCAGTACTCCTATATTGAAAAAATAGTGGTGCTGTCTGTTCTTCACTGGTCCAAAATAACATTCAAAGATTTGCTCAACTATCAATACAAAATTCATTGGCCACCAGGACCACTGCAAACACATCATGTAATGGTCCTGATGAAATTTTACTAGCCAGGGACCACAGGACCAGCGTAAATTTCGCACACTGGAGAAGAGAGATGTCTTATTGCTTACAAGTGTGTTTCTGCAGTACTTGGGGGGTAAAGTTGGCCCTTCCATTTATGACACCACTCTTTGTTCACAAGACTTAACATAGTGTGTATGGTTTTACATTGCTTTTAGCAATATTCCAGCAGTATCATGGTGGGAAATGGGCTTCACACAGAGTGAGTGAATGGGTGAGTGCGTGAGTGAGTGAGTATGGCAGAGATGCCAACTCATACGATTTTATCGTATTTGTTACGAAAAAACAACACAAAATACACGACTACAATATCAGTAAAAATATTCAAATTTTAAAAAAATACAATAAATTATATTATTGATAGCATATGTACCATACACAAGAAATTGCAGCCAAATTTTATTCCGTATCAAGCAATATGTGGGTACTTACTACTGATTTAGGCGAGTACAATGTTAATATGAAGTTTTTAAAATATCTATATATTCTGTGTTAATTATGAAAATTCTTTGGAAAGGGTAATACGAATTATTACATCAGTTTTTAGCCATACTAATTGGGCTTAATTAGGGTTGGCATCTCTGGTATGGTTTTGTGTTACTTTTAGCAATATTCCAGAAATGGGCTTCACATGTTGTACCCATGTGGGGGATCAAACCAAACAGACTCTCCGCTGATTGCCTCTGCCTCCCTTCCCAATAATCATTCCCAGTCTCTTAACCAGCAGAATTGTGTTTACGAAAAGTGTAGAATTTTCAATAGCTTCCTTGAATGTTAAGCAACCAAAGTCGTAAATTTTCACCAAACTTATCTATACATCCTCTATGGCACCCGTGAAGATCCATGGCAGAATTGTTCTTCAGCAACCCATGCTTGAGGCAACTAATGGGATCAGGTGTTCAGGCTCGCTGACTTGGTTGACACATGACATTGTTTCCTGATATCATTGTAGATCGATGCTCATTGTGTCAATCACTGGTTTGATTAATAATCACTGGTCGATTATTTCCAAACCGCCGTCATAGTGCTGGACTATTGTTGAATGTTCAACAACAAACAAATTTCCATCACAGAGTTAGAATTGGTCCCCAAGAAGCATGTTCAAGGCAGGTGACTTGGTAAAAATTGTACCCTTATACACAAATTTTATGGAAATATACTCACAATATCAATCACTAGTTTGTCTGGTCAAACACACAGAACCAAATGCAACTGCAGATATGTTGGCATGCTTTTGGTTTATAGGGAGGGGAGATCTTTGGGCAGTGAAATTCAGTGATTCTGCGACTTGAATTTAAAATGTCTGTTGCTAGGCAACCGGTGGCACCAGCCAATGACTCTTCTGTCAGCATCAATGGACAAGACAATGATCGTGTGGCAGTTTGACGTGGCAGCTGGAGTGTGGCTTGAAAAGGTCAGTGTTGTCTCTGTGAAAGTTATATCATATGCTTGACCATGTTAATATTCACTATATCTTTATATGGGATGTAACATTGTACAGGCAATGAGAGAAAATCAGTAGAACACAGTTACCTCCCCTTGATGAAATGACGGGTTATCATGGCATGCTTTGATAACATTACAATTTGTGTTACTTTCTCTGTGTCATCAGACATTTTATTGAAATCTAATGGCCACGAATCCATTGGCTTGGGTTTTTAGTTTGAATAATGGTAAGAAGACGTCAAAAGTCAAAATAATTAAAACAGACAAGTTCAACTCTCAACCTGAACTATGGTCCTCCTTTAAAATTATGTCTGGTTAAAAATTTAGTGCGTGTTCACTTATCTTGGTTGGGATATGGTGGGGAGTGGTCTTATAGTCTTCGCTTATAACAAATTTTGCTGATCTCATCTCATTGCACTGCCGCCAAATATGACTTTACTTGCAATATGCAAGACAAGGCCCAACTTCCAGTACCAGATTTCCTGTGATAAGCGTTTATTCAAGAACCAGTTCTGGTTCGAAATTGCGTGGCAAGACCGGACTTAAGCTAGACCAGACCAAGTACAACCATGCTTGGCTGTTACAGCTGCTGACAGTCGTAATATTTGGCTAATTTGGGGATGATTAGATCGGATATTTGTTATTACTGCAAGGATTATCGGTTCCTTACTGTCAACTGACAACCATGAGACCATTCGAAAAGATATGAAATGTTGTTTGTCACCGGGAGTAGTAAGGTCTCGCGAGGTGCTGTGACCTACTTACGGGCCCTATAATAACTGGCTGTTCAGTCATCAGTTCCTCAGACGGCTGTGTACTGATTCTTCTCAACAGTTTATACGATGAAAACATGAGCCAATTGTAAACTGTCATGTTCTACTGGTGACTGCAACATCAATGGATGATCGTGTCGCTGTAGGTGAGAGTTGGTGAGGTGGGCGGCAACAGTCTGGGTTTCTATGGAGGACTGATGAGCCCTGATGGTCAGTCCATTCTAGCTCACGGCTATCACGGAGCTTTCCACCAGTGGTCGTACCAGCAGGTAAGAGCTTCTCACATGTGACGGACCCTAAACATATCATTGCCTTGTACTGTCTTGTTGTTTCAACTTTCTCATTATGCAGAAAAGTTAATGTGGATGTGTCTTTTAAAGCAGTTAATGATTGTTGGGTTTTTACCTGCAAAAAAGATCATGTTTTATTTTATCAGTTATCAGGGGTAATACTTGAATTCTAAAACAAATAATAACTCAAGTTTACAGTTATGTTGAAGTTCTTGAAACCAGATTTGTTAAGACTAAAACATTACATGCAATCAAATTCTCAAAACAAGATTTTAAAGAATAAGTTGAGGTTCCTGCTATAGTTTTATTTTGCTAACTGGTAGATCTATGTTCATTTTAAGAAACTTTTTGTTGTTAGATATATAATATTGAATCTACTCTTTTATCCTGAGCATGAAATTTTCTGGTTTATTACCCACGAGGGTGAAAATATCAGGGTTCATATTTTTCATGGGGTGGTGGGGTAGCCTAGTGGTTAAAGCGTTCGCTCGTCATGCCGAAGACCCAGGTTCAATTCCCCACATGGGTACAATGTGTGACGCCCATTTTTGGTGTTCTCCGCCATGATATTGCTAAAATATTGCTAAAAGCGATGTAAAGCTAAACTCACTCACTCACTCATATTTTTCATACTATGCCGTAGGGCAAAATATCACTTTGTCATGGTGACGTGATGTCATGAACAATGCTATGACGTCACGTTACTTCTATGATGTTGCGTTATACATGCGGCGATGGGGAGTAGCCAGCCTATGTTTAGAGTAGATTTGGGTTTATTTTCCTCAATTTGACAGACACTATTATATTTGTGCCTATAATATCCTCTATATATGTTATGAAGATATTAGACCACGTCAGTGTTTAAATTCAGTTATGCAATTAATTAACCTCGCTTGCAGTGGTACTTTTTTAATTCCACTGAGTTTCTAATTACTCATATGCTTCAGTCGACCTTGACATGGGTGTCGACCGTGACCGGCGGTGGTCATTTCGCCAGTGTGCAGGATGTAGACTGGGATCGAGATGGGGGAGAGTTCCTGGTCAGTGTGAGTGAGGACCAGACAACCAGGATCCATGCTCCATGGGTGTCGCCAGGTAGAGAGGTAGGTAGTGGGTGTGATGTAGACTGGGATCGAGAGGGGGGAGAGTTCCTGGTCAGTGTGAGTGAGGACCAGACAACCAGGCTCCATGCTCCATGGGTGTCACCAGGTAGAGAGGTAGGTAGTAGGTGTGATGTAGACTGATGTGTGAGTGAGGACCAGACAACCAGGCTCCATGCTCCATGGGTGTCGCCAGGTAGAGAGGTGGGTAGTAGGTGTGATGTAGACTGATGTGTGAATGAGGACCAGACAACCATGCTCCATGCTCCATGGGTGTCGCCAGGTAGAGAGGTAGGTAGTAGGTGTGATGTAGACTGGGATCGAGAGGGGGGAGAGTTGGTCAGTGTGAGTGAGGACCAGACAACCAGGCTCCATGCTCCATGCTCCAAGGGTGTCTCCAGGTAGAGAGGTGGGTAGTAGTAGTTCAATACTCGTTTCATTTTGAAAATCCTAAGTATCGATGTATATCACAAGTTATATTTTCAAATTTGATTCATGTTTTTCAGTATAATACTAAATTTACTCTACACTCAATTCCAGACATGTTGGTACGAGCTGGCGCGACCCCAGATCCATGGTTACGACCTGCAGTGTCTGAGCATGATCAGTCGGTACCAGTTCATCTCTGGTGCCGATGAAAAGGTTGCTCGAGTCTTCCATGCCCCGCGAAACTTCATTGACAACTTCTGCCAGATCTGTGGTGTTCCTCTTGACTCCGAGTTGAAGAAGAAGGTAAGACCAGGATTAAGATACACTGTAGCCATGATTTAACAGGTTTCCAGGACTCTTTGCTTATTGAATGTATATTTGTCGATCGGCAGTTGTCAAGCTTTATGACAGAGGGTTGTAAATAATGAAATCACCTCTATATTAAACCAGTGATTAATATAATTAGCATGTTGTCGTCTTGTGATTACATGCAGCCAAGTCCTGTGAGCGAATGACTGTGGTTTTACATCGCTCGTAGCAATATTCCAGCAATATCGCAGCAGGGAACAGCAGAAATGGACTTCACGCTTTTGGGAATCAAACCTGGGTGTTCAGTGTGACGAATGAATGTTTTACTGACTAGGAAGCCACCCCCCAAGAGCCGTATGGACTGATCCATGTCATCACCTCTTAGTCTTTACAGCATCCATGGTTTGCTTAGGGTCTAGTCATTTACCTGGTGACAGTCACAAAGAAATTTTGAAAGACTCTTAAGGATACTCATGAAAAATAATACACATATTTTGGGAGGTCATAAAAAAAATGGGCATTTCCCTGTGAAATACAAAGTGCTTTTGCATTTTGTCTTTTCAGGAAAATTCATGAAAACAATGTACTAGGACATGGGAGAGTCATCCAAAATATGAGAAACCTTGAGGAGAGTTGCTACACTGTAAACATTTGTGCATGGAAAAGTCTGAAACCACCCCACTAAACCTGTCCCTTGAGTCTGTGTGTCTTATTTTCTAGCCTGTGTCCTCTCTGCCAGAGGGAGCCAGTGTTCCTGCCCTGGGGCTGTCCAACAAGGCAATATTCCAGGGAGACGACAGTCTGAAGACAGACAGAGAACTACAGCGCCACCCTAACGAGCAGTACCCTGATGTGTACTTTACACCTGTAGCACTCACTGGTAAAGTCACGCATGTAGCAATCACAGATAATATCTCACCTGTAGCCAATCACAGGTAATGTCTCACCTGTAGAATTGACAGGTAATATCTCACCTGAAACACTCACATGTAGTTTCACCTGTAGCCACTCACAGGCAATATCTCACCTGTACTTAGTAAGGTTTTAGGCCACGCTTAGCAATATTCCAGCAATACCAGAATTAGCGTTTACTCATTTTACTTATGTGGGAATTGAACCTGGATCTTCAGCATGGCAAGCGGATGCTTTAAGCATTATGCTACCCCATCACCCCCCTGTACTTAGTAGTGGTGGTCCAATTAATTGAAATAATCGAAGATTGGTCGCAATGACTAAACAACCAAGCAATCGATCATCTTTTCTCATAATCGAACACAAACAATTCTGGAACACTTGTTTGCATTAACAATATTTTTCACAAGGTTGGTTTTGTCTGTTACATTTCATAAACATTACAAGCTCGTTCCAAGTCAGGATTGAATTTATCTTAAAGACTCCAGGAAATTTATGTTCCTAACATACTAGTCATCCTTTAAAGATGTTAAATTTGCACATGTATTTTGTGGAATTTGCAAAAAGACTCATAAGAACTACATGTTTTTTCTTTGTTGTTTGTGCAGTAACAAACATAACCAGAAAAATTTGATACATGATGCTGACCAATTATTTTCGATGATTGATCGGTTGTAATGAACCAATCATCAATTAGGAGATTTTATCCAATTCCCAACACTATTACTTAGTGACCTCATTTTCTTTCCAGCACCACCTAGTGAGGAGAATCTGCTGCAGAACACGCTATGGCCGGAGACACAGAAACTGTATGGGCATGGATATGAGGTCTTTGCCCTGGCCAGCAACCCAGCAGGGACAATAGTCGCTACAGCCTGTAAGGTGAGGGAGACTCCCAGATGTCTAGAGGGCGCTGTTGTATCAAACTTTAATATTGGTGATATAATGTCAGGTAATTGGAACTCTTACACTTAAAGTGTCGAAGTTCATAAATAATTGTGATGTGTGTGTGTGTGTATGAGCATTTTACACAATCACCGGTCTACTGTTTCCTGTGAATTGACCTGTGAAGATTCATGTTAGAATTGATCTTCAGTAATCCATGCTTGTCGTAAGAGGCGACTAATGGGATCGGTGGTCAGACTTACTGACTTGGTTGACACATGTCATCGTATCCCAATTGTGTAGATCGATGCTCATGCTGTTGATCACTGGATTGTCTGGTCCAGACTTGATTATTTACAGACCACCGCCATATAGCTGGAATATTGCTGAGCGTGACATTAAACAACAGATAAATAAACCAACAAATAAGACATTCCCATGCGACGTTACACAAAGCTCACTCACTCACTCTATGAGAACTATATAGCTACCATCTCGTCTAGGCCTCTAAAGCTGAGTTTGCCAACATCCTGCTGTGGGACACGTCCACATGGAGACAAATTGCTTCACTAGAGGGCGCCACGCTTACAGTCACCCAGCTGGCGTTCTCACACAGCGGACAGTACCTGCTTGCTGTGTCCCGAGACCGGACATGGTCACTGTATCAACAAACAGGTAGGTCAAACCTCCACACACTGACCCTTCTTTTGGGAGGGGTAAAACTTGTCTACTTGTTATAGGGAAGGGTTAGATTAATGAGGGGTTAGAATGATGATCCTGTGTTTTAGGAGGGCTTAGATTGATTGCTAATTGTTTGGGAAGGGGTTAAATTGATAATCCTTGTTCTAGGTAGGGGTTAGATTGATTGCTAATTGTTTGGGAAGGGGTTAAATTCATAATCCTTGTTCTAGGTAGGGGTTAGATTGATTGCTAATTGTTTGGGAAGGGGTTAAATTGATAACCCTTGTTCTAGGTAAGGGTTAGATTGATTGATTGCTAATTGTTTGGGGTCAGGATATCTCCTTGTTAGGAGGGGTTAATGGATATCTCCTTGTTTTAGGGAGGGGTCAGATTGATTATTAATTTATTTGGGAAGGGTTTTTAAGGGGTTAGATTGATATCTCCTTGTTCTAGGTAGAGGGAGTTGATTGATATCTGAATCTTGTGTTTTTAGGGAAGGGTTAAATTGATGATATCTCCTTGTTTTAGGGAGGGTCAGATTGATATCTCCTTGTTTTAGGGAGGGGTTAGATTGATATCTCCTTGTTTTAGGGAGGGTCAGATTGATCTCCCTTGTTTTCAGATTGATATCTCCTTGTTTTATGGAGGGTTGATATTTTGTTTTAGGAGGGTCAGATTGATATCTCCTTGTTTTAGGAGGGAGGGTCAGATTGATATCTCCTTGTTTTAGGAGGGTTAGATTGATATCTCCTTGTTTTAGGAGGGAGATTGATATCTCCCTTGTTTTATGGATATCTCCCTTGTTTTAGAGGGGTCAGATTGATATCTCCTTGTTTTAGGGAGGGGTCAGATTGATATCTCCTTGTTTTAGGGAGGGGTCAGATTGATATCTCCTTGTTTTAGGGAGGGTCAGATTGGTCAGATTGATATCTCCTTGTTTTGTTTTAGGAGGGTTAGATTGATATCTCCTTGTTTTAGGAGGGTCAGATTGATATCTCCTTGATTTAGGGAGGAGGTCAGATTGATTGTTTTAGGAGGGTCAGATTGATATCTCCTTGTTTTAGGAGGGTCAGATTGATATCTCCTTGTTTTAGGGAGGGGTTAGATTGATATCTCCTTGTTTTAGGAGGGTCAGATTGATATCTCCTTGTTTTAGGGAGGGGTCAGATTGATATCTCCTTGTTTTAGGGAGGATTGGTTAGGGAGGGGTCAGATTGATATCTCCTTGTTTTAGGGAGGGTCAGATTGATATCTCCTTGTTTTTAGGGAGGGGGTCAGATTGATATCTCCCAGATTGATATCTCCTTGTTTTAGGGAGGGGATTGTGTTTTAGGGAGGGTCAGATTGATATCTCCTGTTTTAGGGAGGGGTCAGATTGATATCTCCTTGTTTTAGGGAGGGGTCAGATTGATATCTCCTTGTTTTAGGGAGGGGTCAGATTGATATCTCCTTGTTTTAGGGAGGGGTCAGATTGATATCTCCTTGTTTTAGGGAGGGGTCAGATTGATATCTCCCTTGTTTTAGGGAGGGGTCAGATTGATATCTCCTTGTTTTAGGGAAGGGTCAGATTGATAACTAGTTCAATGACCCAGATTGAGGGGTTAGACTGATGGCCCTTGTTCTGTGTAGTTAGGTTAGTGGTTTCTTATTCTAGGGAGGGGAAAGTTAAACTGATTTTCCCTTTTGTTTCTTATCAAAGTTATAACTTGCCATGTAATATTTAATGACAATGTTTATACTTTTTGAAAGTTACACTTATGATATCACTTTCGCACATATAATAATAAAATGAGATGTGGAGGAAGGTGTAGTGTCAAAGTTGTGATGACTTTGATCATGATATATCATCATCATCATCATCATCATCCAGATAACTTTTCATATTGTATCATGTTTTGCTGTAGGTGAGATGTGGGAGCGAGTCATCAGTGTGGACAAGAAGAGGTCACATTCCCGTATCATCTGGGCATGTTGCTGGACACACGCAACCCCCCAAAAACATATGTTTCTTATGTTATTAACAAACAAGACATAAGTACTACATCACAGTGTCTCAGGGACAAGAAGGTACAGTCAGCTCATATACGTTAGTGCCAGAGCAACTGAATGAATAATCAGTCAATCAATCGATCTCATAACATGTGACCTGTGTGTACTCATTTCTAGATTGGGGATTTTGTCCCTCGACAAAACCCTACTCATGCATGCACTTTGGGTGGGGGTCCAGTTACCATGGTTAGTTTGGACAGGCCTTACATTCGGAGCATCAGTTTTTATGCATATTTTTGTGAACTCTGAATGAACACCTGGTGTTATTTACAGGCCATGGTGTGGTCAGTGTCCAGTGTGACTGGGGAAAGCCGGGCAGCTGAAGCAGTGTCCGGACTTGATCTGTCCGATTCTGTGACTGCAGTCGACAGTGCACCTTGTACTGTCAGAGGCCAGTAAGTGGGATAACAGACAAACCTTCATCAATATTGGATTTTCTTTAATATTAGATGTCAGATCTGATGGTATTGACAGAAGTGATACTAGTAATCTGAAATATTCACTTAATTTCACTGAAGATTTTGTGTTTCACTTTCAGAACACAATTGGTCTGAAAGTCCATGTCTGTCATCATGCATGTAACATGACGGATGGTTTGTCTTCCTCCAACAGCGAGCGGTGGGGTAGCCTAGTGGTTAAAGCGTTGGCTCGTCACGCCTAAGACACAGGTTCGAATCCCCACATGGGTACAATGTGTGAAGCCCATTTCTGGTGTCCCCTGCCGTGATGTTGCTGGAATATTGCTAAAAGCGGCGTAAAACCAACACTCAGTCAGTCAGTCCTCCAACCTTTGATTGGCAATATAGTAGTTGGGAAGTGCAATACAGAAAAATTTGTGTATAGCAGCTTCTACGGTACAGATTTGTTTACCATTCTAGCAGGAATTCTGTGTCGAAATGTCGCCTCACAAACTAGAGGAATTTGTTATTCATAAATCTGTCAGTATTGTTCTTCCAACAGCTTGATATGTTGCTCATTCTGTCGACCATTGGTTAGCCATTTGTTGGCTATGATGATATAGCTTGATTTCAACCAAAATTCAGTCAGCAAAATGATTTTAGAAAATAACCTATATTTTCTGTGTTATGATCTGCAGGTACCTGTTTGCCATTGGTCTGGAGAGTGGCCAGATTCTTCTGTATCGGTGGTATGCCAAGGACGGGAGCTGGACGTGCTGTCACACTCTCACACAATCGTATCCTTTACAGAACATGAACAGTACCTGTCACTACGGACACATCTCTAGTAACTACTTCCACCCTATTGATCATAATAGTCTGTGACCACTTTCTTGTGAAATGTCTGTCCGTCATGCATGCCTTAACACCATTTCCATAAAAAAATTACCTTTTTTCCTTTCCACCATTTTAAAATTTTCATTTAGATTTTACTGAACTCCAAAGATGAGGAAACAGAAAATCCACAGTTTGTAATGGACAACCTTTCCACCAGTGTTTTTTTAAAGCCTTTTTCTTGCTTGTCACTGTTCTTCAGTATTTTCTCAAACTGTATCATTACTGTTTGGATGATATCACCAACCTCATAAGGTGCATTCTGATTGGTCCTTCAGAGTAGCATAGGAAATCCGATTGTGGTGCATATATCCAGAGACAGATGGAATGTGATAAAAGCTGTGTAAAACTACAGTCACTCAATCTTCTAAAAGTACTTGGGGTGGTGGGGTAGCCTAGTGGTTAAAGCGTTTGCTCGTCACCGAAGACCCGGATTCAATTCCCCACATGGGTACAATGTGTGGAGCCCATTTCTGGTGTCCCCTGCCGTGATATTGCAGGAATATTGCTACAAACTCACTCACTCTGTACTTGGGGAAAACTATAAGGTGCAGTGGGGGGTTATGGATAAGACTGACTGAGGTGCACGGGCAATATTCCAGCAATATCGCAGTGAGGGGGACACCAGAATGTGTCACATAAAAGACATCATAGATAAAATAAGATTAATATATTTCATTTAAAAGTGAGGTTTTGGGTTCCAAGATCCCTAAATCAAGTAATTAATTGAAAATCAAGTATTAAAAAAACCTATGATTTGATAATGTTACTTCCCTAGCAACCAGAAATGCTCATCATCTAGCAGTGAAGAGACTGCGATTCCGTCCTCGACCTGGTCAATCTGGATCATCAGAAGCTGGTTCCTGGTTGCAGCTGGCCAGCTGTGGTCTGGATCATGCAGTCAAAGTGTACAATATCAACATCAGCAAATTATGATGTGTGTGTATCCCTGTGTAAACCTGTCAGACACGACCACTGTCAAGTGATGATTCTCTTGATAAGCTATTTGTTACAAATCACCAAGATACTTCAGCTCGGGTATATATAATGGTGAGAAGTCAACTGAGAGGTGAAGGACACATTAGCTATAAATGGCTGTGATGTTGAAGGAGTGAAGGTCAGACCTGATCCTGAGGACTTGAAATGTGTATCTTCTGACTGGTGACCTTGAGAAAAAACAACTGTGACCCAATTGCTGGTGCTGTCAGATCTGGGTTCCAGAAGCAGTGTAAATAAACATAGACCTAACATCAACCACTGGTTTGTCCAACTCAACAATTTATAGGCAACTGTGATAGAGCTGCAAACTGCAGAGAATACTGTCTAGATACAGCAAGTGCAGAGAATACTGGTTAGATACAGCAAGTGCAGACAATACTGGCTAGATACAGCAAGTGCAGACAATACTGGCTAGATACAGCAAGTGCAGACAATACTGGCTAGATACAGCAAGTGCAGACAATACTGGCTAGATACAGCAAGTGCAGACAATACTGGCTAGATACAGCAAGTGCAGACAATACTGGCTAGATACAGCAAGTGCAGACAATACTGGCTAGATACAGCAAGTGCAGACAATAAGATAGACAATACTGCAGACAAGACAATACTGGCTAGATACAGCAAGTGCAGACAATACTGGCTAGATACAGCAAGTGCAGACACTGGCTAGATACAGTAAGTGCAGACAATACTGGCTAGATACAGCTGGCTAGATACAGCAAGTGCAGACAATACTGGCTAGATACAGCAAGTGCAGACAGTACTGGCTAGATACAGCAAGTGCAGACAAGACTGGCTAGATACAGCAAGTGCAGACAATACTGGCTAACAGTATGGATAACACGTGTGACAAGACTCATCATTTGTCACTGGTGCAGATTGTTGCTGACATTATTGACCACTGGTTGTCCAGCACCATCGCTTGTGATAAAGTCGTCTACTGTGTAAAATGCACTACCTCACAAAATAGTGTAGAGAATAAGGGAGAGATTCAAGATTGTGACGTCCTGCTCAAAATGATTTTCAGAAAGAAAGACAACACGAGAGCTATGCCAGACCACAGCAAGGAAATGTTTCATCTTGCACAATAATTCAGTACTTCATCTTGTGTCATGAACATCAGGGATGACAATTTCATTAGTTATTTATTTGCCTGAACTGTAAAATCAATCATAGTGAACATATTGCATCTGGATACATAAAATGTAATAAATCTATTGCAAGACATGCATATATAGTGACACTTGTTTCTTGCAAACATCTATTGGTATAATGAGAACCACTAAATATTGGTAGCCATGATCATCAATTTCTGAATCTGGATTATTACATAATTTCAGATATATGTTACAGTCAGATTGTGAAATCAGTCATTTCGTGAAATGACTAAGAGGATCAGCCATTTCGCTATTGGCTATATAAATAGGTTTGGACGTTTCCATCAAATTTGATGTAAATGTGCTTGATAACGATTGCCAATGTTCGTGATGCACGAAACAAATCATCAAAACGCATTTTGTGGCCCGACTCTCAGAAACACAAAACACATGTCTTAGTCGGATATATGGGAAAGATCGTGCGAAAAATCAGTACAAATGGCCTGTCCAACACGGCAATATCACTGCACATAAAGTCACACAGAGAAAATGCCAAGGTTAACCCAGGAAGAAAGAGAACAAGCAGTAGGGATAGTTGAATGGCTGACCCTCTTAGTTATTTCACTAAATGACTGAAATTTTTAGTCATTTCACGAAATGACTGATTTCACAATCTGACTGTAACATATATATGAAACTGTTTCATGATTTCTAATAAGCCGTATTATTTCAGTTTGGTTAATATTTTTAATGTACCTTACAAATTTCGGTATCCATGGTGATGCTGAAAGTTACTTCTGAATCATGAAAATGCTAAAGTTCAATAGAAAACATAAAGAAAAACAAACCAACATCCGGTTGCAAAGGAAAGGTTGATTTCATAGCTTCTCCTCATGTGGATATACTTATTTGTAAATAAAATGTGAATGTATCAAGCACATAAATTTGTCAAACAAAGATTATTAAGGAAAATCTTCCTTGGGTGACGCAGAAATTAACAAATTATTTATATATTACTTAATATAACAACACATATTTTCTTTCATGTGACTATATGTTCTGTCTGGGCATGGCAGATGAGCCATACATTGGAATCTGTCAAATCTGGACTCTGTGTAATCAGGTATTCTCAGTAATCCGAACTACTCTCTGAGTCACGGCAAACTTGTTCTTGATTCATCATTAAAGCTTGCTTTATAACCCGGACTCTTTCAATTACGGATTACAGACTAAACTAACAGTCCCGACAATCAACTTGCTATGAGAACAATGCTTTGTAATCCTGACATAGCTGACTAAAATAACAGTCCGTTGAATAAACATCTGTTACTTCTGTTCACAATGGTTAATGACTGAAAACATTGTATTACATGGAAATTTACAGAGGCAGAAGCAATTCATGTTAACAGACTTTTTCCAATGAAAGTATAAATAATATATTGAGCATAAATAAAAAACCAAAAAGAACGATTCAAGTTGTTGGTTGTCCTTAACAAAGGAAGGTAACTCATCGTGGCAGTCAACACGGTAATGGACAGTAGTTGTCTAATCTGGACCGCTTTACAATCCGAACAAATGTGTCGGTCCCAAGCCAGTCCGTAATAGACAGATTCCACTGTACTTGTAACTGCGTACTGATCTTGTAGATCACAGGGCACAGTTAAAATGGTGCATAAATGCATACTTTGTTCATAATATGTAGCTGATGATACACGTTTTGTACGTTTAACCGTATGGCAGCACTCTGAAAACAATTGAGTCTGTACCAGATAAACCAGTGATCAACAGCATGAGCATCAATCAAACAGAAATCAAAGAGTGTTAAACTCAACTCGCTCAATGTTGATCACATGACTGCTGGATCACAGAGTCGGAAAGAAGCAATGGAGTCCATTATCCAGTTGGCGGGTAGCACACACATCCGAGACAAGTTGATGGCAGGGTACGACACTCTCTTGTCATGAATGATAAACACACTGCAGTCCTTCAGGGCACTGGTGGACTCAGCGTGGTAGGGAACAGTTTGGTCGTAGTCATCGATATTCTGCAGCTTGGGTTCTCGTGAGATGATCTTCCCGCCAGCACTCTTGACCAGGGTCTGGAGGTCCTCCTTGTGAGGAGTGGGCTCGTGGAAACTTCCATAGAAGTAGAACTGGCAGCCATCAAATAAACCAGGCAGCTGGGAAACAAGATTATATTTATATTATTAGGTACTTCTGGTTATCGTTCACAATATGAAGATCAATAATCAGAGCTCACTGCTAAGTGATCAAGTGTAATCGTAAACCCCACAATAAAACTCGGGCAATAACGGGACACAATAATCACATTGTACAAATGAAATGGGATACAATAATAACATTGTACAATGAAAAGGGACACAATAATAACATTGTACAATGAAATAGGACACAATAATAACATTGTACAATGAAATGGGACACAATAATAACATTGTACAATGAAATGGGACACAATAATAACATTGTACAATGAAATGGGACACAATAATAACATTGTACAAATGAAATAGGCATCAATTAATACCATCAAGATGAACAAGGATACCTTACTGTTGAGGTACACACATAAGTATTGCAGGAAACTGTGTCAGTTGTTTATGTGTTGATTTAAAAAAATAAAATAAACACACTTTATAAAGTTTAATTTGAAGTGTCATTTTTAATGGATATCTGTTAGTCTCCCGAGCCCATCAATAAAGCGGATAAAAGCAGCCCTATTTTCCTTCCATCACTGTTATTAGGGAAGTGTTATTAGGGAAGATACAATGTGGCAGAGTCATGTTATAAAACTAAGATGGATCTGTGGGATAGAGGAGCAATATGTTTTGGTGCTCAAGAAATACAGTCATATCTAAAAATAAGAGTAGCTGTTAATTCAGTCACAGTAATCGACAGTCGAGTTATTTCTAAAATGCCTCTGCTGCACGAGTCTTGGCCAGGCAAACTGGTGGTTGACAGCATGAACACAGATCCACTTATCACAAATCAGCCATTTGCCACAAACAGCATCATTCCCTAGTCGTCAGCTATTCAGTTACTGGGGACAGCTTCTATTAATACAAAAAGCAGAGGGGACACAGGTGATGATATGTACTCACCTGCTGCCTCCTGTTCAGCCTGCCCTTGGTTGCGGCGTGGGAGTCGGGCTTAGTGCTGGGCCCCGGGACCTCAAAGGCCTCCTCACACACCTTCTGCTTGTATTCTAGACACAGGTCCAGCCCTGGAAGATCACAAACATATAACTCAATATGGAAGAATGCATGTGACAGGTTTGTATTCCCTGATCAGATCACCTAACAACACAGATAATGTATTACAATGTAGTCACTATGTTTAACCAACAAATCAAGACCTGGTCTAGTTAGAGTGAGTGAGTGAGGTTTTACGCTCCTTTTAGCAATATTTCAGCTATATCATGACATGGGATATTGCTGGAATATTGCTAAAAGCAGCGTAAAACCATACTCACTCACTCATGGGACACCAGAAATGGGCTTCACACATTGTACCCATGTGGGGAATTGAACACAGGTCTTAGGCGTGACAAGCGAAGCTTTCACCACGGGGCTACCCCACCTCCCTGATGTGATAATTCTCAGGACATCTCAGCACTTTCATTGTCTCACAAGTACAGGATGAAGCTACCTACAAGACGTACTCACCTTGCCATCAGCTGTACCTAGTACCATCATCAATAACAGGATATAATTTGTTAACATGAATTGATGAGCACAACAGTATAGCTTATTTCCCTGTGCACAGTTGTAAAGTAAAAATCCTAGTACGTTTTCAGCATATTTATTTCAGCCACCACTTTAGACAAGCAATATATTCTTCCAAATCTGGCACCGAAAACTTGCTTTGCTTGTTCTCAGGTATCATTTTAGAAGTTGATCAATAATGTCTTGCTTGACAACGGTATAAGAATCTATACCGAAATGTTGCATCATAATACAACAGAGAAGTTGTTATCTATAAAGTATGATACCTTTCTTGTTCTCAGTTGTTGATCTGTTACAGAATATATGAACTTCAAGTACATTTCAGTTACTTTTGATCAACATCAACAACTTTAATCACAAGACTTTAATCACTTATTTCATTTCAAGACATTGTACCCAGGTCTTTGCATTAAACCACTAGGCTACCCCACCGCCCCTGGTGAGTGAGTGAGTGAGTTTGGTTTTACGCCGCTTTAGCAATATTCCAGCAACATCACGGCAGGGGACACCATAAATGAGCTTCACACATTGTGCCCATGTGGGGATTCGAACCCGGGTTGTCAGCGTGACGAGCCGACGCTTTAACCATTAGGCTACCCCACCGCCCCCCGCTCCTGGTGAAGCCAAGCACTGTTTAAGGTTTGTATATGATACGGTTGGTTGGTTTGTGGCTTAACACCGCCCTTAACAATATTCCAGCTATATGGTAGTGGTCTGTAAATAATCGAGTCTGGACCAGACAAACCAGTGATCAACAGCATGAGCATCAATCTGTGCAACTGGGATGTGATGACATGTCAACCAAGTCAGTGAGTCTGACCACCGATCCTGATAGTCGCCTCTTACGACAAGCATGCCATTGTACTGGGTTGCTGAAGACCAATTCTAACCCGGATCTTCACGGGTCTTTTATATAATATGGAGATGTGTTGTGAAGTACATACACTCTACTGACAGGATCCACTTGCCACCAAGCACAGCATTCAGAAACTTGAGTGTACGGGGACACTGGCCTTGCCGATTACATGACGTGATCACATGGGTCACTGGAAACAACACAAATACTGGTGAAAATATCATAATATGCAACTGATAGTTCATTGCTTCTCATAGGTTGAACTGTCACTTGCACGACTTGACACAGCGCTGCATTAACCTCACAATGTGTTAACAATCCATGGACCCACTCAGCTAAAAACAGAATGGTAAACCCATAACAAACTTTTGATCCCACTTCTGTTGCAACTGCACATGGTGAGCATCACTAAGCTCATGATACTGATTCAGAGTTGCTTCCCTTTTCAAACAATGGCAGACGAGTTTGACAGATGGAAGCAAACTATAGTAATTTTAATCAAATTATTTTGCTATACAAGTTTTGTGTCATAAAGAAATACAGTTACTGATTTCACTTTCGGCCGATCCAAGTTTTAATGACTTTGGACAAGTGATATTCCCCTTCACCTCAGTGAATAAATATCACTTGTCCAGGTCGATAAATAAATGGATTAACCAAAAGTGAAGTCAAAGATTTTATAATGAGTAATACTCATCATGTCAGTTGCAATCTCATGCCAAATGAGTCCATTTACCTTCGGGGACAAACCGACCCACGACCTTAGCATGGAGCAGAGATGCACATTTGTGAAGAGTCCTGCCCTGATCCCGCGACAGCGCTGTACCCAGGAAGCAGAGTGGCAAGTATTCCTGTTCACACGGAGTCTGAAATAGAAATCTGCATAAAAAGGTTTTCAAGAGAATGATGAGTGAATGTTGTTGTATGCCGCAGTCTGAAATATTTTCAAAACTGTCCGTGTGGCAGGTAAACTGTTTCATCAAAACAAGAGTTGAGGTGAAATAGGGTTTAACGTCGTACTTAAGAATATTTCGCTCATATCACGACATACATGTGTGTGTATGTGCGGCTACTTGTACTAGCCCAGACTTAAAGCTGGTTTTATAGTGCTAGCTCACTGAGATACCATGCCGCAGTGAAGCATGAATACCCCACTCAGACACATTATACTGACTCCGAGCGGACCAGTCCTTGTTGTACCCATTAATGCTGAGCACCAGGCAGGGACCAACAAGTACCATATTTTTAACGTCTTTTGGTATGACGTGGCCGGGGATCAAACCCATTGACCTTCCACTCTCTGAGCAGACGCACCACTCACTACACCACAAAGGCGGTGACAACAAGAGCCAGCAGACATAACGGAACCACGGAACATGCTGAAAGTAAAGCAAGTTTATGTCATGGCATCATCTGCCATGATCATCTTCACCTCAGAAATCAGGGAATCAATGCAGCTGACAATTCACATATCTAATTCTTCCCAGCATGGATCATACTTGATGTCCTTGGCAGGCAAGTTGGGAATATATCGTAATTCTGTTCAAACTTGGGATTAATTTTTAAAGTTCTTGATACATTGAAACATTAAACATTAAACCCCTGATCAATAGAACTGTTACAAAACTGGGGCAAAACCAAGATTCAAACTCAAGGTCATAGGTGTTTGCACAAGGGATGCAACTCTGCACAGCAGCTTCCTGTGGCTAAGACGACTGCACCACCAGTGCCTCCTATGGGTACAAGCAAAAGAATTGATGAACTCTTATGACAAGCATATGCTGCTGCAGAGCACTTCTAACCCAGAATGCCACATCCCTACTGACCATAGGAACATCAGTCTGGCTTGGTCCAGCGGACACAGGTGTGTTCAGGGCCTGCCTCATCTCATCAGTTTGGGCCAAGTCCAGTGGGGTCTGCCCCTTCATGTTTCTGAAATAGTGAGAAAGTTGCGTTCTTTTTTTAACATTTTTTTAGGGGTATATTGTTGTTTTTTTATTGCTGCACTCAGCAATATAACGGGTATATTGCCGTATTCTGTAAATTTATAATCAAGTCAGGACAAGACAATCTAGTGATCAACATCATGAGCATTGATTTTTGCAGTTGGGATACGATGACATGTGTCAACCAAGTCAGCAAGCCTGACCATCCAATCCAGTTTGTCACCTCTTACGACAAGCATGGGTTGCTGAAGACCAATTCTAACCCGGATCTTCACCAGTTTAAGATTTTGACAGTATTTCAAATATATTATGGCAAGTCTGATTACTTTCGGAAGAATGCAACAAAGGTCATAGACAATTACCATCTAATGAATAAGTTGGGATAGGAGCTGACAAAACTAGGATCACGGTAAGTGGAAGCTGATGAACATGAACCAATGATATCTGACTGAGGGATACAACTCTGCACAATGAAACTTCAACACTTGGTTTAGATCACAAGGACTGACTGACTGAGTTTGGTTTTACGTCGCTTTTAGCACTATTCCAGCAACATCACGGCGGGGAACACCAGAAATGGGCTTCACACATTGTACCCTAGTGGGGATTCGAACCCGGGTCTTCGGCGTGACGAGCCAACGTTTTAACCACTAGGCCACCCCACCGCCCCAGATCACAAGGAACAGATATATCCTATTCATAAGTTTTAAAGTTACATCAGACCAAAATACTGAGAGAACTGAGAAAGCTCTTGACAATGCCTTGGGCAGTATTCCAGATGAATTTTCAGCTTGTTGAATTGAACCTGGACACAACAATCCAGTGATTCATATAGTGAAAGACAGTCCACACCAAGACTCCAAATCTGACCATCTAACGATCAGCATATATATTGCTACGAATCTGTTCTAACCAGGAATCCCCTCAGAACAGTGAATAAGAAACATGCATATGAACTTTTTCATTCGCTTGGGTCGGTGGGGTAACCTACTGGTTAAAGTGTTGCTCTTCACGCCGAAGACCTAGGTTTGATTCCCCACGTGGGTACAATATGTGAAACTTATTTCTGATGTCCCCCCTTGATATTGCTGTAATATTGCTAAAAGCAGCGTAAGAATTGTCTCATTAACTCTCAAATCACTTTGTTAAAACAAATGACACAGAAAAGGCATGAAGGTGAAGGTGAAAGCAAATGCACATCCAAATGTCAAGGTAGTCAGAGAAAAAAAGGATATGGTAACTTAAAGAAAGTAACTGACAAAATGTCATTTTCAATATGGCTGCTACGGCGACCATCTTTAACATGTGTTTAGAATTCTGTGAGCAGTGTGTTTATCTTACTAACCTGGTAGTAATGGAAGCTCCTCTGGACACCAGCAGCTTCACCACATCCAGTCTGTAGTTGTCAACAGCGTCGTGTAAAGGGGTGTCGTTGTCCATGCCTGGGATGTTGATCATGGCGCCGTGGTTCAACAACATCTCAGCTATGGCAGCATGGCCATGGTTACAACATTCATGCTGCAACATGTACATGACAAACACTCAAAGATTGTTTAGGACCATCTCGATGAAAAGCAATTGCAGATGTCATATGAAAAACATCGTCACCCAAGGAGCCAATAAAATAGAAAGAAAATGTATTTTCCAAGATCAAGCTTAGATAATACTTAACAAGGGTCAAATGTCAACAGTAGCAACTAGGAAATACACAATGCCATTTTTAGAAAGTGATCAAATGTAACAGATGTTATATTTGGGATTACACTTTCTTAGTAAAGTACAGATTCTAGTACTTGTTGGGTTGAGTCTCATCCGGGATTCCAACCCACACCCAGCCTGGTGCCTGACTCTGAGGGTGCGGGTTCGAATCCCGGATGGGACTCAACCCAACAAGTACTAGAATCTGTACTTTACTAAGAAAGTGTAATCCCAAATACAACATATGTTACACTGACTGACCGAGTTTGGTTTTACGCCGCTTTTAGCAATATTCCAGCAACATCACGGCCGGGGACACCAGAAATGGGCTTCACACATTGTGCCCATGTGGGGATTCGAACCCGGGTCTTCAGCGTGACGAGCCAACGCTTTAACCACTAGGCTACCCCACAGCCCCCACATATGTTACAGTACTAGCTAGGCAATCATGCAACTCTTTTGTGCTTCAGTTTTCTTGAAACAGAATGTTACATACATTGGTGTATCTTACACAGATTACTCAGAGACTGGTCCAGAAGATGATAAGGGAGCACTTCTTGGGTGAATACTGTATTGTGATTTCCCCAGAAAAGCGACATATCCCAGAATTTAACATATCCAAAACATTTTCACCTATGTGTTTTGTTTGTTGTTTAACGCCGCACTCAGCAATATTCCAGCTATATGGTGGTGGTCGGTAAATAATTGAGCCTGGACCAGACAATCCAGTGATCAACATCATGAGCAATTGGAAAATGATGATATGTGTCAAACAAGTCAGCAAGGCTGACCACCCGATCCCATTACTGACTGAGTTTGGTTTGATGCTATATGGTGGTGGTCCACTTTTAGCAATATTCCAGCAACATCACGGCAGGGGACACCAGAAATGGGCTTCACACATCCCATCCCATTAGTCGCCTCTGATGACAAGCATGGGTTGCTGAAGACTAAGTCTAACCCGGACCTTCACGCGTCCTATTTTCTCAATATAAATGAAGTAAGTACCAGTGGAGTCCAGCCTGCGTTGTCACGGACGTTGGGACCTGCACCAGATTCCAGCAATGTCATCACTCTGTCCACATCACCCTGCAACGTAGAGGGAGAAATAGTGGCTCAAGTATATTCCTTCTACACAGACAATGATGAAATTAAGTGCAGAAACTAGCTCTAGTAAAATTGAGTGAATAATGGAGACCTGTCTCTGCCTCCAAAGGGACCAGCCATAATTTATGGCTAGGGGGGCTAATTGATTTTATACATAACAATCACATTGTACACGCTTCTCCATAAAACTCACGCACGCACGCATGCACGCACGCACTCAAACACACACACACCAGCCATAAGTTATGAACAGTCCCTAATGAACAGGATGTTCAAAGGAGACAAAACTCTTTAAAACCAACTTTTAAACTTTGCTCATATATGTCTATTTTGTGTGATTCACAATACTAAAATGTCACTCACACGTATTTCCCTGGCACCACTATGGCTGTTGAGAACAATTATTTAAGTTAATAGTCAAAAATTTAAACTGTAACTATGTTTCAAGGATGCAACTTGAATAGTAATCACATATAAACATATAAGAGGACACATCCCAGAAGTTCTACTATCAACTTTAGACAAAACACACTCAGCTGGTAAAACATGTCAAGTTGCATCCACGCTTTTATGCTGCAGCTAGCTTTTAAAAAGGCACTGACCTTAATGGCTGCCACATGTAGTTGAGTCTCCCCACGAGCATTGAGCCTGGAGTGTCCTGTGTTTGACTCCACTAAGCTAGAATCCAGGTCCCTCTTCCCTTTCTTCCTTGGACTCTGCTGAAACACGGGTGAGGTCTTCTCCTTGCTCTTCACACACTTCCTTCCCCTCTTCCTCTGATCTGCAGACTGACCAGTCTCTCCTGACTCTGGCGTTCCGAAACTGGATGGTGAGCTTGGGTTAGAGGTCTGTTTATGAGGTCTTCCACGTCCATTTCTTGATTCCTTGGATGCTTTTCTGGCTGGACCTGATTTTCCTGGGTTACTGTTGGTTGTAACATTACTGTCAGTATCATCATCCATGTCTAAAAGTGGCAGTTCTTCGTCATCATAGTCATAGAACTGAGTCATTGTTGACTGATCTGCTGGTTTAACCTTTGTCTGTCTGCTGCTGCTTCTGCTGCCTTCTCTAACCGGTGTATGGACACCCTTCCTTGGCCGTCCTCTTTTCCGGCCACGCCCTGTCTCTCCAGCAAGAGTAGAGCCTCCACTTTCATCCACAGCTTCATCATACAAATGGGTCAAGGTCGTCTGCTCTGAAGGTGGAACGCCTCTCAGCTTCTTTTCAGACTCATTCCTATCTCCACGTCTGTTTCTGGAGACACTCCGGGAGTTCTCCACCTTCCCTTCAGCACCTCCATCCATCGTCTTCCCTCCACTATCCCCATCTTCCACAGGTGCATCTTGTGTCTTCCTTTGACCTCTCCTTGACCTGCTGCGACCTGACCTGGTCTCTCTGGTTCCGTCATCATCCCTCTGTTCTGTTTCCACGGACTGTCGCAATCTGGTTGGTTTGGACGTCTGTTTCTTTCTTCTCAGGCTCCTCCCGACATGAGATCCTGTTTCATCACTTAGAGTCTGATCCCCCCGACCTGTGACCTTGACCTTGTTGACAGATACTGTGGCTGTTGTGTTGGACAACAGCTTCAACTGCCAAGACTGTGGAGTGCTCTCTTGCAGATCTTGAATTGACTGGTCTGCCAAATAAAAATAAATAAGTACTGTATTTCCTCACTCACTCCTAGTGTATACAAAACTTAAGACACCATTAAAGACCTACAGTGGAATCTGTCAAATCCGGATTCTATGTAATCCAGTTTTTTCCATAATCAGGGTTACTCTCTGAGTCCCAGAATTTTTTTTCTTAATTTATCATTAAAGCTTGCTTTATAATGTATTTTGAAAAATACAGTTTTTCAAGACTAAAGGCTAAATTCAAGTGCGTTATCAAACATCATCTAGGCCATTTTTTGTTTGTTGTCAAAATGGTTCCACATCCAAACACACCATCAAAATATTCCCTGGTCCACACACCATGCAAACTTGTGTTTCAGAAATGATTACTTACCGACTATCTTACCACTGTTACAGACTAATCAACTGATGATGTCCTAATAGTGTTGGGAATTGCTTAAAATCTCATAATTGTTGATTGGTTTATTACAACTGATCAATCATCGAAAAAATTGGGTTTGCGTCATTAATGAAATTTGTTAATGGACATAAAAATAAGGAAAAAACATGTAGTTCTTTGGGGTTTGGGGCAAAATTTCACATCTTTAAAGGATGACTAGTATGTCAGGAACATAAATTTCTTGGAGTCTTTAAGATAAATTCAATCATGACTTGAAACGAGCTTGCAGTGCTTATGAAATATAACAGACAAAACCAACCTTGTGAAAAATATTGTTTATGAAAACAAGTGTTCCAGAATTGTTTGTGTTCGATTATGAGAAAACATGATCGATTGCTTGGTCGTTTAGTCACTACGACCAATCTTCGATTATTTCAATTAATCGGACCACCACTATGTCCTAATACATTATTTTGAGCACAAATTTATTTTATGGATTTATTTTACATGGTCATATTTTACCTGCATCCTGTGCAATGGTACCACTTCCGGTCTTGTCTTGATTACAGGTGAGAATCCGCCCCAGCTCCTTACAGAGGCTGACGAGGTTGGACAGCTGCCTGTTCACCTGTGCATCCTTCACATGGGCAGGTATCTGACAGGCAGGACAAACTGCACCCAGGAAGGATGTGCAACAATCGCTGTTAATAAACAAAACAGTATACTTGCTTCACTGACCAATGCAGTCTCAAAATATTAATTTGATAGTTGTTTCAGTCTCCATATATGACAGTCTAGCTATATGACAGCAGATTATCTGGACCAGACAATCCAGTGACAGGCATCATGAGGACTGATCTACACAACTGTGATGCCACTATTACCAAAACCAGTAAGTTGACTCGTAAGTTGTGTTGGGAATTGGTTAGAATCTTACAATTGATGATTGGTTCACTGCAACCGATCAATCATCAAAAATAATTGGTTAGCGTCATTTATGAAATTTTCCTGGCGATTTTTGTTTGCACAAAAACATAAAGAAAAAAACATGTAGTTCTTTTGCAAAATTTCACATCTTTTAAAGGATGACTATAGTTTGTTAGGAACATAAATTTTTTGGGGTCTTGAAGATAAATTCAATCATGAATTGGAACAAGCTTGTAGTGTTCATGAAATGTAACAGACAAAACCAACCTTGTGAAAAATATTGTTAATGCACAAAGTGTTCCAGAATTGTTTGTGTTCGATTATGAGAAACATGATCGATTGCTTGGTCGTTTAGTCACTGCGACTAATCTTCGATTATTTCAATTAATCGGACCACCACTACTCTTAAGACAGTCATGGATTGCTGAAGACCAGTTCTGTGCCAGATTTTCACAGAGTCAGTATACAGTTAAAGAGGTTATTCTTTCATGGTTATCATAAACTGCCTCTTACGAAAATCATGGGTTGCTGACAACTTGCTGAAGACCAGTTCTGTACCAGATTTTCACAGGATCAGTCTATAGTTATAGCAGTTACTATGGGTTGCTGAAGACAAATTCTATCTCAGATTTTCATAGGGTCAGTCTTCAGTTATATCGGGCATACTTTCATGGTTCCTATAAAACAAAAAGACATCAAATTCCAGCCTTATCAAGCAGGAATCACAATTTTTCAAGACTAATCTAATTATGCATGATGCATGAGATTTACACAGACTTTGGGCTAATATCTTTTGGCCTGTTTGTTGTAAAAAACATCATATTTCGAAATATTCCAGCAATATGCCGTCAGTCTGTAAATAACTGAGTCTGGACTAGACAATCCCTTGATCAATAGTATGAGCATTGATCTGTGCAATTGGACAGGCTAATATCAGCCTCAAGACACGTTTAGATAAAATGCCTGCCTTGCAACAGACTTCAAGCTCAATATTGACCTCTTAGCAGGCTTGTGGTAGTGAAGTGAGTGTGAGTGAGTGAGTTTAGTTTTACGCTGCTTTTAGCAATATTCCAGCAATATCATGACGGTTGACACCAGAAATGGGCTTCACACATTGTACCCATGTGGGAAATCGAACCCGGATGCTCAGCATGACAAGCGAATGTTTTAACCACTAGGCAACTCCACAAGACCTTTGCTGCTGAAGAAATACATCAAAGAGGGTAGTATAGGGAATGGGGGTTATATGACAGGCACCTCATGGCGTTATTTGTGGTCAAATAAACTCCCACCAATGGTGAAAAAAGGCATATTTTTGGTGGACCATCATTCGATGTCCCCATAATTCATTGGAGAATGTGCACTCCAGTTAGGGATAAGGAGGAACACAGGTATAAAACAACCCATGCCGGGAACCAAGCTATCACGAGAAGCCTATACCGAGATCTGATCTGGTAATATGTCTCTTTCGGGAGGCAAAGAAGAAGTACCATATATCACAAGACAGATATATGCAAATCCGAGGCAACTCCGAGACAACTTCCGACAAGACAGAGGTCTTCGAGAAGTGTCCCCATTTCTTCCTTTCCGACCAAGAGAAACAAATCCTCGAGCGATTGGGGCACACCTTCTACGAGCAGCACAGTTGCTCGAACTCTATTTGATGTGCATTCGTCAACCCATCAAAAACAGCCAAATAGTCAATGTGGTCTACCTCTACCCGCCCAATACACCCTTGAGATTCTTGTTTATCTTGAACTATGAAAAGTCTAAATCTTTCACATTCAAGACCGCCTCCGTGGTGTAGTGGTTAGAGCATCCTCCCGGAGAGTTGAAGGTTGCGGGTTCAAGCCCCGACCGCGTCATACCAAAAGACGTTAAAATATGGTACTTGTTGGTCCCTGCCTGGCGCTCGGCATTAATGGGTACAATAAGGACTGGTCGGCTCGGAGTCAGTATAATGTGTCTGAGTGGGGTATTCATGCTTCACTGCGGCATGGTATCTCAGTGGGCTAGCACTATAAAACCAGCTTAAGTCTGGGCTAGTACAAGCAGCTGCACATACACACACACGTCGTCATATGAGCGAAATATTCTCAAGCACGATGTTAAACCCAATTCCACCTCACCTCACCTCACACATTCAACAAGACATACCATCACTTAAATCAATTTGATATTCAATCATTTCTTACCGACAAAACAAATGATCGCAAGCACCTAGAGTACACAGGGTAGGATGCAGTTTTTTGCTGAAAAAAAAAGAAACAGAAAAAATTGCAAAACAGTATTGTTCAGACAGAAAAATCAATTGCTAAAATAGATATTATTTCAAACAAGCATTGTCACTAAGGTGACATAATCCCCCGCCGCAAATGATCAAATCAAACTTATAAAGTAATGAAAGTTTAAGATGAAGTTAAATGTCAACAAAAACATGACTAATAAACCTCTCTTGATATCTGGCTCTTTAGTTGTTCAAACACACACATATTTTCAAGACTGACTTTGACCTTGACATGAATGTCATAGTGTATGAAATATGCAAAACTAGTGCTAAAGAAATTGCTCATTGAAAAACATTCAAGAGAATTCTTAGAAGTCTATGAAGAAAATCCAGTGAACCGTTCTTAAAATATCTTGCTGACAATTCAGGTTAACATGCTGAAATCTTCAAAGTGTCGTCGTGACCCTAAAAATTATGTGAAGGTCACCAAAATTGACTGGGTCCTGGGCCTTCCCTAGATGAAGCTTGGTGTCAAATATGAAGAAATTCCAGTGAATATTTTTTGCGATATCTTGCTGACTATCTTAACATGCAATTTAACATGCTGAAATCTTCAAATTGTCTCTGTGACCTTGAAAATTAAGTGAAGGTCACCAAAATCGACTGGGCCCTGCACCTTCCCTGGATGAAGCTTGGTATCAAATATGAAGAAACTCCAGTAAATGGTTCTTGAAGTATCTTGCTGACCAGCATAACAAGTAGGTTAATATGCTGAAATCTTCAAAGTGTCTCTGTGACATTGAAAATTAAGTGAAGGTCACCAAAATTGACTGGGTCCTGGGCCTTACCCAGATAAAGCTTGGTGTTAAATATGAAGACAATCCAGGGAACGGTTCATGAGATAGCTTAACTTGCAGGTTTACATGCTGAAATCTTCAAAGTGTCGCCATGACCTTGAAAATTAAGTGAAGGTCACCAAAAGCGACTGGGCCCCGCGCCTTCCCTAGATAAAGCTTGGTATTGAATATGAAGAAAATCCAGCGAACAGTTCTTGATATAGCTTAACATGCAGGTAAAATGTTAAAGTCCCCTTGTGACCTTGAAATGAAGGTCAAGGTCACCAAACCTGAGTTGGACCTTTCTTATACTGTGATGAAACTAGGTACCAAATATGAAAAGAATCTAGCTAACGGTTCTTAAGATATTCCAATTTGTACGTACAGACGGAGCCTAATACTATATCCCCCGCTTCGCGTTAAACGCACGACGGGGGAAACTAATCTTTTATGACTGTACATGGTAAACATTAGGACTATTATCACGATAACAATTTCATTGGCCATAGTCCATTACTCAATGACAATATCTTGTTAACACACTTGTAAATATAGCCATTGATTTGAGGAAGGAAATGAAGCCTGTCTCTACCCAGTATAACCTTGATGCACCTGCTGCTCAGTCTAAAAGTGAGTTCTGGTATTGATGATTTAGAACATTGAAACAAAATTATTCTTGAACTGAAAAGATCCTTTGTCTTAGTTCCAGATTAAGTTTGTGTTCTTTGAACAGCAAAATATTAACATGCACTGGGTGAAAGTTGGTATTGATATGAGGGAGGGAGTGAGTGTGCATGGGATGGGATAATCCTAGGAATATTTTGGTGGGCAGGGGGAGCAATGCCCCACCAGGTTAATTTTAGGTGGGTCCATTTTTTAGATTTGGGTGTTTGAAGTTTTCAGTTAAATGTATTTACTTAATTTCTATGTTAAATAAACTGTTTTAATAAGCTCGTAATTTTTTTCTGTTACATGATCATTTACAATCATGAACGAAAGTGAAACCGAAAGTTACCAAATAAAAGATTTTTACAAAACACCCAGTTCCATGGGCTGAACTTATTACAACAACCAATCAGGGATATTATTGCATGTGGATTAAAACTGGTTCCCTTAAGAGTCTTTTGTGCGATTCTGGTGAACGATAACAATATTTATTGCATTATATTTACTTAGGCCTCACTTGTATTTTTTGGATGTAGCATTTTCAAATATTTTGTGTCCACAGGTCACAACCCAAATTTCTGTCAGCGGCAATTCATATTTTGATACGGAAATGCTCGCAGAAACGCATCCTAGGTTTATCCCTGAGTGTGAGTATGGAATTTCGCCACTTTTGGCAATATTCCAGGAACCAGACATGGGCTTCACACATTGTACTCATGTGGGGAATCAAAGCTGAGTCTTCGGCATGACGGGCAGACACTTTAACCACTTGGACATCCGACCGCCCCTGGTATTACACCGCTTTTAGCATTTTGCAGTTCAGGTTGGTCAACAGTCCGTTTGAGTCAGAACACCAGAAATGGGCTGCAAATTTTATCATTGTACAAAATTGGGATTCACCCCGCGACAGATAACAACTTTTGCGTTTTCAATGATGATAGTTTCTTAAACAACTATTTTGGTGGGATCCGGAAAATTTTCAAATATAAGAAAGCTGTTGGATATTAGTAAATGATAAACATGTGTACTATTTATATTAATGTGGCAATTTTGTACAATGATAAAATTTGCAATTCATCGGTCCGTTTCTGACTCAAATGGACTGTAGTGAAAGTTCTAAATGCTTAAATCAATGAAAGTAACAATTGTGAACACTAATTTTATTGTAGACTAACAACTAGTCTCTGAAAAAAAACATATTTTACAGAAGAAAAAGTCATAGTAAAAAAAATAAAAATAATGAAAAGGAGCTCTGACACTTCCTTTATTTTCAGACCTGAAGCTGTGGAAATCTAAACTTGCGACATTTTCTAGACTTGCGTGGGCTTGCTTCAGGATCTGCATGACAGACTACTTTTATTATCTTACCTCACACATAAATGTTGTTTTCTGATTGGCTGAGCGCTCTTCTATTATTTTCAATGTACCCCGCTGGGAATGCCAAACTCATTTGGTACTTCGTGGTAGTACTTCTTTATCTCGAATAACATTGAATCACGTATGATGTACGGAAAATACTGATGCTTTGCGAATGCAAATCGATGGAAAAGGGAGATAATTCTAAATCTGTTTTCTTGTCGTGTCGTCTGCAAAATCTAACGATGGCTACGAAAACATTTGCCTCGCATTCCAATGAAGAAATTTTGACAAAACGTTCAAATGTAGTCCCTGTGAATATCAAGAAGGGGAATTACACAGCGGTGACTTAACTAAGACAATACATGCGGGAAAAACAGCAAGATGCAAGATTCGAATCGTTTGATTCACACAGGTTGGCTGAAGAGTACGATCCGATACCCGGGCTTCAAACAGGTCAAAATTAACATTTAGGTGTTCGGTAAGATAAATACGTTGTTGACTGGTCCCTCGGGGCCCATGGGTTGATGTACCAATTGTGACCAGTGGACAACTTATAACGTAGACCTGCACTGTATGTTGTTGCTTAGTGCAGAACTCAGCAATATTCCAGCTCAATGACAGACTGCAGCTTATAAATATTCAAGTATTCATCTGACAATCCAGCAATTGACATCATTGGCATCAATATAGACAGTGGGACAGATTGGGATAGAATACTTTGACAATGGGCCATTTTCATGATTATCAGCCTTTTTCTGAATTTAGAATGGGCACTGCCCTTGTATCAATAGTAAACTTTAAATCTTAATGGGCCATTTCTTATTCTAAAGTGCAAAATGGCCCCTGCCTTTCCCAATCCCTGGTGGGGATACAATGCCATGCACACACAAAGCCAGCAAACCTCAGTATCTATCCATTTAGTAACCTTACAACAAAGTTAGGTCATGAATACACAATGCCATTAATAAAGTGGTCAAATGCAATATGCTATATTTCAAATTACTTTCTCAGTAAAGGACAGATTCTAGTCCTTTCGGCGTTGAGTCATCTGTGATTTAAACCCAATCGCATCACATACCTAATCATCACACAGAGTCAACATGGTCAACGATCTAACCCACTCAGCCACTACAACTTCCATCTATGAAATGTAAGTCTCAAAATTGGTAGTACAGATCATGTGAGTGAGTGAGTGAGTTTAGTTTAGTTTACGCCGCACTCAGCAATATTCCAGCTAAATGGCGGCGGTCTGTAAATAATCAAGTCTGGACCAGACAATCCAGTGATCAACATCATGAGCATTGATCTGTGCAATTGGGAACCGACGACATGTGTCAACCAAGCCAGCGAGTCTGACCACCCGATCCTGTCAGTCGCCTCTTACAACAAGCATGGGTTACTGAAGGTTCATTATAACCCAGACCTTCACGTGAGTGAGTGAGTGAGTGAGTGAGTGAGTGAGTGAGTGAGTGAGTGAGTGAGTGAGTGAGTGAGTGAGTGAGTGAGTGACTATTTTTTATGTCGCTTTTAGTAATATTCCAGCAATATCATGGCGAGGGACACCAGAAATGTTATGGATCATGTACTTTGCATTTGACTCTGATAAGGGATAAATTGGTACAGCTCCCATGGCCATGGGTTGGATCACTAACTTTGCACTGATTAGGTGCCTTACCCTGAGTGTGTGGGTTCGAATACCTGGTAACTGGTAACTCAAAACTCATCACAAAGTTTACAAGCACATCATGGGTGAAATTGGTTACAAGACATACCAGCCAGCCAGTGCCCTGTGATTTCACCATGGGTTGTTGGAATCACCAAATGTGCAAACGTGTGTGAGTCAGTGAATATGGTTTTATGCTGTTTTATAAATATCAATGTGGACAACACTGTGATGTGGGAATCAAACCTGGATCTTTGACTTGACGAGCGAATGCTTTAGCCACTAGGCTACCCCACCGGCCCAAATGTGCATAAACTCCTTTCAATGATCTGTCATCCCCAACCACAATGTCAATGAATAAGCCTAGCAATGTAAAGAGTCTTGACAATTTGTTAAACAGTAGTATACACAATGGGGCTACGGGACCAGGTTCCCCAAAGGACTCACTTTGTAAATTGAGTCCTTGGAAAGTCCCTAATCCCGTAGGCCCATTGTGTATACTACTACTGAGGTGTATGCAAAATCTGATGAAAATCGGTCGAACAGTTTCTGAAATATTGACTTTTAAGTGAGCGGGAAAAGATAAATGTCCAACTTTTTGTCGTAATTAAGTCTTAATGAATCTAATGAAGTCATCGAGAGTGTTCCCAATGCCATTTTGCTATAGCGCAACCCTCTGCCAAGATGCATGCAAAATTTCATGAAAATCGATCAAATAGTTTAGGAAATAATCACTTTTTAGTGAGCATGGGGTCGGTCTGGCGTGCTGCCATCTCGGTATCACCAAGCGAGCGCTGTGGGCGAGTTGCAGTGTGTGTGTGTCGGCTTGGCCTGTACAGCCGACTGGCTGGCTGGCTGGCAGTGTGTGTGTGTGTGTCTCTCTCCTCGGCTATTCACTTACAGCTCGCTGAGCTGGCTGGCCGGCTGGCTACGTTATGTTGATGTCCGCGAAACAATTTATTGTGAAGGCTTGTCGGGCCTGTTGCTTCCCTTGTTCTATGAATTTTTTTTTCTGGTTTTCGCAAATGACAGCGTTTTTATGAGACTTGGTCCGAATCTCTTGTTTCATTCTGTGATATTTTGCGATTTCTGAGAGCACCAACCTAAACTCTTCTTCGGAGATTTTAGAGTTGGTGAGCGCGGTGGAAATATGATCATCTATCGTGTTTAACTTCGCTTCGGCTAGAATTCTAATTTCGTCGTGTTTCAATGCTTTACGTTGCAGTCTGCGAGATACATACTTAAGGGTCAATCCCATCAACCCTGCCACTCCGGCTGTTATTTCGATGCCTAGCACCATGGGTGCGGCTACGATGGTGGATAATAACCTGATACCTGCTAGGCCTAATCCCATGCTGACTGAAATCAAAGTGCTGTCAATACCGTCCACGGAATTGACAGCCCTATGATATTTTTTCTGTAATGCGTATGGCGTTCACGTTCTAGTTGTTGTTTGATCTCGCATATCTGTCGCAAACGAAACCCATCTACGGTTTCCAGTGTTTTCGCCACTTCATCCACGACCGGGTACAGTCCCATTCTGTGTATATACTCTTTTTATAAAATAGTATTTAATTGGTCCTCAGTCAATGTTTGATGAATATACTTTAAGCTGATGAGGTACAAATTTTCGTATAAATAAATGGTCTGGAGTTCAATAAAATCCTTTTGAAAAATCATAATATTTAGGTTTGCAATGGGGGTTCTTCCTGATTGTATGCAAATACGATAACATTTTTGTTGATGGTGACCATGCCAGCGTATTTTTAACCCATGCAGAAGGTTTATATCTACTCCAGGGGCATCTCCAAAACATACTTCGATAATAAGAGTAGAACCTTGTATCACACTGATCCACGAGTCTGGCACATCAGTATATTTTAGTAAAATTAACGCTGCTTTTTTCTCATTGGGGACTAACATGTTAGCCGTTTGATCTGGTAATGGCGCTATGCTCGTCCACGTTAATCTTCCAGGATCAAACCTCCCCAGCAGTATCCCGTTATTTTTAGCGAGACGCCACCATCATTATTATCCATAAGATAGGGAGTGGTAAGGATAATATTGATGATCCAGTTCAACTGAGATTCAACAGCCCTTGCTGCTCTCTTTACAATCCTTAGGGTTAGGGTTAGGGTATGCCACCCTTTACAACCCTTAGGGTTAGAGTTTAGGGTTAGGGTATGCCACCCAAAACAGTGCTAATTAATCTGAAAAAGTGTGCCCGGAAAGTGCAGTACTCCCTTACCTCTTAGTTATGAGGCGACTCATAGGATCAACATGGTCAGGCTTGCTGAGTTTGTTAATGAACGTCATCCTGCCCAATATTAGATCCCAAAGCAAGCTAGCTGAATTCGAGGCTCTGGTGATATAGACGATAGCATTGCTTACTGGACATTTGTTCGGTGACAACTGATAAATGTTACCAGATGTACTGATACAATTTGTGTAATTTCCGTCGATCCAAACACTAGTAGTTGTTGTACATATTGAGCATGGCTTATCATGCTTAGCTGTAGAACACACTTGGATAGTGACCCTGATAGCAATGTTCATTGGGCCAACATTGGCCAACGTAGGCTCAATGCTGGCCAATGTTGGTCCAACATTGGCCCAACGGACATTGCTATCTGGGGAGTGTGATGCAAGGTATCACTGATTTCAGTGCCTCACATTTGACAAGAGAAAGGGAAGTGTTAATTCTTTTGTGAGTCTAGGAATTAACACTTTCTACAACGTTTTAACATTTTACCATTGTGTGCAAGACAGTGAAGTTTCCAAAACATCCAGAGCTTTCCGTGTTTTCGTATACGCCATGTTTTGGCGCCGCTTCATGTAAACATAGTTTTAGTGGACAACTCAATCAATTCAAGAACACAGAAAATCGGCCCGCAACGGAAAGGTTATGGTCGTGGATACTAATAAATACATATTCAAATAAAACTTTCTTGCCTTGTTTTAAGATTAACCACACTAAATAAAATTCTGAATCATACCAAAATTCTTTTTGCATATAGGATGATAATGTAACTAGTTTTAAAGAAATATGACATGTTTATACCGGAAAGGGAAGGGAACCTAATTTACCCATAATCCCGTGTTCACGATGGAGGACGGTACGAGAAATGATACATTTTGTCCCGAAAACTTTGACAATTGATCTCTTTATTGTTGATATTATACTAGTTTCGTTGCAGGTCAAATTATTTAAGTACGTTTTAACGTATAATGTCCACTTAAGGTAGTTTTGACCGTATTGTACGTATGAATTATGACTAATACGTAAGTGGGTTGGGCAGACAAGTTATTCATTTTAATTGATTTCGCAGATACAGGGGGCCGATAGCAATTTTTGTATGGTTATTTTAGTTCCCAGGTACAAAAGTAAGTATTCAGCAATCTTTTGGAACAATATTAGCACGTTTCTTAAAAATAGCCATCGATATAAACTTACACTGGACCGTTGTACTCCCTGACATTTGTTTTGACGTGTTTGACAGTTCCAGATAAGTGGTGCTTTTGGCAGGTTTATCACGTTTTCGTGCTGAAGGGATTGTTTACCATAATGCTACTTTGTGTTGACTACAAACATTGTGATCTTATATCCATTTTATGTTTCTGCTTCTGATGAAACATGTGAACTGATTTGGCAGGATATTCTCATGGGGCACTTATTTTAACTAATTAGCCAGTTTGGGATATGCAAATTTTAATAATTGTGATGACAGTGAAATGTAACAAATTTACACATCATCATCCTTGGAACATACATATTGTGATGTTTTTTGTCAAAGATTAGCATCTTGGTAATTTAGAGAAATTGCTATTTGACAGCATAATTAACATTTCACTTTGTTTAGAGGATGTGAATGAAAATTTGGAATTTTTATTGATGTTGTTATGGTTATTAGTTTATAGAAATTCATGGGGTAAATAGTGGTAACCAAAATATTTGTGTGAAAAATTATATTTATGACAAGTTAAATTTTGTTTATTTGAGATAGTTCTCAATACTTTTATTTTGATACGGAAATCAATTATCGTATGTGCATATTTCATTGACAGATAAGAACTGTATCCATTGTATTTAATTCAAACAACCTTTAAGACGGTTATCCTGTTTTGCTTATTTGCCAATATACTGGGATGAATAATTTCAAACGGATGTTTAATATTCCAGGTATTCTACATATGTTTGGTAAACATGGTAACTTTTTGTCTTCCTTAGGAGAACTGTCATATGGATGGTGAAATGTAGAGGTCCTGGATTTGACCATTAAAGAAGAAAACTATATCTGAAGAATTAAGAGGAAATGGAGTAGACACTGTTACTTCAGCAACAAGAATGGCCAAGAAACAAAAACCATGATATCCTAAATTTAGGTGTTTGGTTCAAGGATCGTGAATCAAAGAGACCATGTAGTATGTGACGACAGTATGGCGGAAGGTAGCATTACAAGAAAGAACTCGGACTATAGTTCTATTGATGATCTTTCTGTTCCATCAACAAGATCCTTAGCTCTGTCCAATGTTCAGCCTCTTCCCTTACGAGAAAGGAGCAACAGTGACTCCAACTTGAATCTGATAAGTCCGCAAAACTGGTCGAAGCTTACAGTTGACAAGTTTGAGTTCACGCTTGGGAGTGGACAGCTTCGCTGTGGTATCATGGGATATCAAAGAGGATGTCGGTGCTAAGGATTGGATTGGTCTTTTTCCTGCAGGTAAGCAACTTTAGAAATTAGTTTCTTTTTTATGACTACTCCAGAGTACAAGTTCAGAACATATTTTACCAACCCTTAGTATTTTATTTGTCCTTGTATCTTTCTAGTCCTGGCACTGTCCTGCTGGAGTTAAATGTAGTTATATGAAACAATGCATAACTATAATCATGATAATTACAAACAATTGAGGTTTACCATAATCAAGTTTTGAATGTCTGTAACACAAGTTACTCCACAAAGTACATATGAAATGCTCGCTCACTCACTCACTCAAAATGGTTCTCTTCTTCCATGTGCTGATAATTACTTGTGATTCAATACAATGCTTTTTTCTGTAAGATTGCTACAACAAAATTATTTTAATGGCATTTTGAATATTTAATTAAGAATTATCTTTTACTTTGTTTGTGTTCATTATGTTCATTGGAGTATGAAAGTTCATAGAGTAAGGGCCAGAGTGTATGAACTTTTGAGCAGGCAACCCTTTGCCAAGTCACTATGCAAGGTTCATACGCCAATGAACTCACACATTGTAAAATCAATCCTTATATTATAATTGTTATATCACTACTTTGTACCTTTGAAGGTGTATAGTCAATTTCATTTGGTACATTTGTCTTCATGGTCACTCTGACAACCATGCCCATGACAGAGCTGATGTTATGTAGATGGGATGTGTAATTGTCTTACATCAGCACAAAGAGTTTAAGGCCTTTAAAAAAATGTTGTGGTTCCGATTACCCAACCGACCCTTGAATTCAGGTGCGAACCCTATTTTTTGTGAGTGGTCTGAATAAAATAAGCTTTCAGGTACCATTGTTTTTTCCCGGCACCAACGGACATCGGTCATTCTGGTAGAGAAAGTCAACATGATGGCTGCAAGCTTGATTGAATAGACAATTACACATTGATAAATGTGTTATTAGTTTGTACTTTACTTCTAAAAAGGATGTTTAAACAAAAATCCTGTCTACCCTAATTCTAAAGAGGTGTAAACCGAACCACAACATTTTATTTATTTGGCTTCAGGTTCAGGTTAAGAGACTATGTTGTCAACATCGCCTGGTATGACATCATGCTGTGATTGTAAAAAGTGAATGAATTTGCCTGATTGTTATGAATGATACATATTCCCAGATGTACCTGATCTTGTGGCGTGGCCATATTATCCAATCAAACTGTGCGAATCAGGGCCAACCCCCATATGACAGAGGTCAGCCTTGTTGTCACATGTGTGTCATACGAGACTTGTATCTTACCATCTGTTCATTCAACACTTGGGTAATAATAGCGATTAACCTATTGAATGTATGCTGAAATTTGTTCATCACTGAAATTTTTTTTAATCACTAAAAGCATTATTCATCAAAATTTGTTTATGTAATGGGAAACATTTGTAAACAATTCATTCAAAGGCTGAAACACCAAAAGTCAGATTACTGGAACAGTAAGCCTTTGGTATGATAGACTATATGTTCAGATGTGTATTGCAATATATGATAAAGATATCAAATACTCATTCATTTCTCACACATTGAAATCATAAACCTATCATGCTATACCATATGTGCACGGTGCACAGTCATATAAAGTATCCTATGATCCCCATTTCTCCACGAGTTAAGTTTGTTTTGTTTTGATTGCTTGTTGTTTAACTCCACACTCAGCAAAGTGCCAGCGATATGACTGCAGTCTGTAAAGAATCAAGTTTGGTCCAGACAATCCAGTGATCAATGGCGTGAGCTTTGATCTATGGAATTGGACAGGCTAATAATATCAACCTCAAGGTTTAGATAAAACCCTTGTCTTGCAACAGACTTCAGGCTCAATACTGACCTCTTAGCAGGCTTGTGCTGCTGAAGGGAGTGAGTTTAGTTTTACGCCACTTTTAGCAATATTCCAGCAATATCATGGCGGTTGACACCAGAAATGGGCTTCACATGTTGTACCCAAGTGGGGAATCGAACCTTGGTCTTAGGCATGACAAGCGAACACTTTAACCACTAGACTACTCCACCAGACCTTTGCTGCTGAAGATAAACATCAAAGAGGATCTTGAGATTCTTGCTTATCTTGAACCAGGAAAAGTCTACATCTTTCTCTTTAACATATTCAAGAAGACATACTATCACTAAAATTAGTTTAATATTCGAACATTTCTTCCTGACAAAATAATTCTAAAACGTGAAATGAATCGACTTTTTCTTTAAAGTTTAAGAATAAGATCATTTCAGCTCAGCCCTCGAAACATCTATGTTGTTATTGAATTTATTTGAAACTTGCCCTTTTGGTTTGTTTTCAATATCTAGAAATGAGATATGCTAGTCTGAGTACTTCATCTGCTAAATAATTAGAAACCTCTGCACCCACTGGCTGATTACAAAGTTCATCTAACATATTCTTCAGAGGTGTTGTCAGATCTTTACATCTAGAGGTAGTGTTTCAGAGTTAAATTTCAGATTTGATCATGATTGAAGTTTTCCAATATGTTTGCACTGATTTGAAAAGTGCCTGGATTTAACCATGGCTTATGAAATGTGTGTTATTCTGCCATTTTACCATGTGTGTGCTGGAATGTACATGAAAATATCAGTTTTCATGCATAGCTTATTTCTCATCACTTTTGCCATAGAAAGAAAGCCTGTCTCTTATGTGTTATGTCTGTTAAATCTTTTGTATAATGTGTTACTAAGTATAGGAGACAGTGGAGTAGCCTAGTAAAGCATTCGCTTGTCATACCAAAGATGGGTACAAAGTGTGAAGCCATTTCTGGTGTCCCCCGCCGTGATATTGGTGGAATATTGCTAAAAGCAGCATCAAAACTAAACTCACTCACACTTTAATTATTGTTTTTATGAGTGGCCTATTCTTGTGGAAAACATGAAGACCTCAGTAAGTGATAATCTGTGACACATGTGTCATTTGCCGCTGTACAGGGGTACTTAGATTTGTTATGAATTAAAGCAGTCCTTGAAAACAAATGTTATACCTTGAAAAGTGATCAGAGGTACTTGACTGTGAAGTCCAAAGATCTGGATGAAAGATCTTGCTCATTCTGATGGGTTGAACAGTTTTGAACTTGTGAACGAGTGGAGTACGATGTGTTGTACTGGATTATGGTATGATGTGTGCTTCTTATTTTCCTGTAGGATACAGAGAAGAAAGTGTTTACTTTTCATTTTCTTTAAAAACGTCAGTCCTGATATCAGCCTGTGACTAACTAAAAACACTTGTTGGTACACTTACAGAATACCAGATACCTACCAACCATATTGTTTTGTGTCACATGCACTTCCATTATAGGGAAGCATGAGCTATAAAATTCGAAAAAGTATAAGGGAGCATCAAAATATATAATAACCATTAAAATCGGATTATTTGCAACAACTTCTGGTTAGTAAAACTAACCAATGATTTTGAAAATGAAAGGTTAATTATCACAAATAAAAAATATATGCATCTTTGAAAAACGGAGCTACAAATTTCTAGGAGTTAGAGCGAATGAGCGTGGGAAAGTTTCCTACCCCTAACCATAACCACATTCCTTAAACTAACCCTCTAAAGAAGATAGTAATGGATATCCAACGGCTAAAAAAGTAAGTACACTAAGATAGTGAAGTACTAAATCGAAGTACTAACTCTAATCGAGTTGGGTACATTTTTTTTAGCAGTTCTAAAGTTTTCAAAGATGGCAGAAGGTATCCAGTATTCTTTTTGTCTTTCCCACCAGTTTGAACCTGAAGTCCAGTCACATTGTGTTTGTTCTTGAAGCTTAGCTGATAAGAAGCCATATAAGAACAATAACATATATCAAAGATGATGCCAAGAGCCATGTTCAGACATGTAGAGTCTGAACTTTTTAGGACCTGTGAAGGTCCAGGTTAGAATTGATCTTCAGTAGCCCATGCTTGTCGTAAGAGGCGACTAACGGGATCAGGTGGTCAGGCTCGCTGACTTGGTTGACACATGTCATCGGTTCCCAATTGCGCAGATCGATGCTCATGCTGTTGATCTCTGGATTGTCTGGTCCAGACTTGATTATTTACAGACCGCTGCCATATTGCTGGAATATTGCTGAGTGTGGCGTAAAACTAAACTCACTCACTGAAGTTTTTGGTATAATGTGATATGTAAACCAATGGCCAATTGCGTGCTGACCAGTGTCGCCGAAGGCACCATTGTTAGTCTCAGAGCAAAGGAGAAATCTTGTCCAATGGACGCTGATCATGCTGACTGACTGACAGTCATGTAAGTTTTCTCATTTTGCTTGTTTTCCTTGGAGAAACACGTTTTAAAATTTGCCAAAACCTTTTGACTATTTGTAGGAGTTGCTCAAACCATGTAAAATGAATTTAGCCGAACAAGCTAGATTTTCTTCGAGAATTTTCTGGAAAGAATATTTCATATTCAGTAGTCAAAATTACTGCCAAGAGTTAATGGCATTATTCTGTGTAGCGGCCAGCTTTGCAGATATTGATCGTGTGTTTTTGTCTGTGGGTATATGTAACATTGTAGACATCAATACTCATTTGCATATTTTAAACATGTTTAATGCATGGAAAGCAGAGTGGCAACGTCAATGAAAGGTTATCAATAGCAACTGGTGTTTTCTATTGACTTGAAGTTTCGTTTGTAAAATAATTTACATGAAAAACATATCAATTTCATTTTTCATGGAAAGCAATGAATTGGAAGCTGCATACGAAGTGTTGAGTTTCAGACTTAACTCCAGCCTGGTTGGACTGAGGTGGTTACATCGTGGAGATGTCAGCAAATCTGTCAGTGGCTGAGCACTAGATATGAGTGCTTGTCCCATTTTTTTATATTTAAAAAAAATAAAAATTTAATGTTTTATTTTTTTTTATTTTACATGTTTGTGTGAAATGGGTTGTTTAACAAAATACTTAAATTTCTGTAGCTTAAGGTCTTTTAACTTTGTTTGTCAAAATGTTTTCATTCTATGCCAACCATGTTCTTATGTAAGTTATAGTGGGAAACTA